GCTTCTCATGTACCTGTAAGTGTGAAAGCATTTAATATTGATTAACCAAACAGTCAGAAACCAAGCTCATTAAATTATATTTTGTGGCTATAATAGGCCTCTAGTGAAGCAAATTCATGCAGTCTTCTCTTTTTGTATTACATTTTTTGTCTTAAATGCCATGTCATTCATAAACACTCAACACCATAACAATGACAGATCACTTGCCAGGAAATAAATGGTGTATCAGGTTTATCAGGCTATAAAGAGGCAGATAAGGACACACACACATGTTGACAGTGTGAAATGCGATCTCCTCCATGCCTTACGTCATTCATAAAAATTTTATATAACTTTGGACTTTGGAAAATTATTGAGGTTGAAGACAAATGGACAAAGCAGACCATTGTCAAATAGCACATCCACAGTCTCTCTTTAGTTATCGTGGTCACCATACTCTGTATATGATTGTCTGTCCAGTGGGTCTTCAAGTAAGTGCAGTGTGAGCGGCAACGCGCTCAGCCTGGGACTCGCTTCTTCACTCTCCATCTGTGCTGAGCAGATTAGGACTGCGTGTCAGCTCAAGGACCCACTGTGACAGCTTCAGATAAACTTTATCTATGTAGACGTGGCACTGTGGATTGCGAGCTTTTCGGTAGCCTTTCCTTTCAGGCAATCATTAGCCGGTTTTGAAAATGCACAAAGAGAAGCTGACCTTCTCCTGCTGTCTGTAAACTTGACCTCGTGGTGTAAACAGTCTCAGTGGTTATTTCCAGTCGCATTGCTGTAAAAGCAAGTTAGTCATGATATATGGTCTAGCTTAAAAAAGTCGAATCAGGCAGCTGCACACGTGGTGGTCTATTTTAGCACCGTTGGTGTCTAATAACAGGCAGTGAGTTCAGTGAGTGCGTATGTGTTTACCATTTTCTAGATAGTGCTCTAATGGTTCTCCTGGTTGCTCTCTTTAGGCACACTGCAGGTTGGTTCCCATTCAGACACAGAGCTCAGGTCAGGGCTCCAAACCAGCCAGCACCAGAGGTCATTCAGAATCAGCAGAACCAGGACCAGGATGGACAACCAGAGCCGGTGAGGGATCCTATATTGGTGAGCCAATAATGTGACCTAGTTAAATACTGGTCTGTATTATTTTGAAGAAAATATTTTGTTTGTTTGCTGTATAGGGCTGCTACTAACGACTATTTTCATAATCGTTTCGTTGGTCCATTACAACTATGATTAATCGCTTAGTTGGAAATCAAATACCTGCAGGTATTTGTGTGGCAGTAATGTTTTATTCAGCAAAATCAAAATAGAATCGTTTTTTTTTCTTTTATCTTCTTTTATTCTAAATTAGGCTTTTATCAAGAGCACAGCAACAGTTTTCTGCATTGCTCCTGAAAACTCAGGAGTCTGAGAGAGGCTGTATTTCTCCTCTAATGTGGAAACAAAAATAAATAGATTCTGTGCGGTTTATTACATAATGTAATGAAATGTGATATTACAGATCACACAGTAACAGTCCAGTCATCAGCCGTGTCACATACTCAGAACCTAAAGCAGCTCGTCACAGGGAATATGGCAATAACCAGCATGCATTGGAATGTTTTCAAATGTATACCTTTTTGTCCACATTCTCAGTGCTGAACTGAGTTTTAAACATCTCTAAACCTAATACCTAAAGCTCTGTGTTGGGAAGCTAAAACCAAGAGAAAACACATCCAAGCTAGTCTGCGTGCATTAGCATACAAGCAACCCTGATAACTGTATAGTTTAGCCGAGCAGTTTAAACCAGCAGTTTGAAAATGCAGCTTATTTCTTCAGCCAGTGCTGCTTATTCTCTCTGCTAAAGTAAAACAGAATGAGCTGAAAAAGCAGACAGTGATACATTATTTTTTTTTCAGTTTTGACGGCTGATTAATAAGAGAGTATTTCGCCATGCAGAGTTTCTGCTGTGAATGTATTGTTTATTCTCTCTCATACTCACCCCTGATGGACACACTGCCTGCTTAGCTTGGTTTTACATGTCACACAGGAAACCGTCTTTTTTTTAGACAATGTTAAAATGATATATATATTTTTTTTTATGCGGGATCTAGTACTATCAGTATTTCCCTCTTTCAGTCACATGATGTAACAGAAACACAAACGTCATTAAGACAAGGAATCGATAACTTGATTTGTTGCCAACAATTTATTATCAATGTGATGTCGATTAGTTGATGCAGCCTTATTGCTGGGTTACGTGAATGCTTTGATTCATCCAAATGACCAAAAAACCCATCTGAAAGGCATTACACTTGGTCAGTATGGTCACAGCACGCATTAAATAATTTGTTTGATTATTTACATATTGGGCGGCACGGTGGCGCAGTGGGTAGTGCTGTCGCCTCACAGCGAGAATGGCCTGGGTTCGATTCCCGGCCAGGTGACCAGGGTCATTTCTGTGTGGATGTTCTCCCCGTGTCTGCGTGGGTTTCCTCCGGGTACTCTGATTTCCTCCCACAGTCCAAAGACATGCAGTCAGGCCAATTGGACTTGCTAAATTACCCCTAGGTGTGAGTGTGTGTGTGTGAATGTCTATGTCTGCCTGCCCTGCAATGGACTGGTGACCCGTCCAGGTGACCCGCCCAAAGACAGCTGGGAAAGGCTCCAGCAACCCACCGTGACCCAGAAGGATAAGCAGTTTAGATGGTGTGTGTGTGTGTGTGTGTGTGTGTGTGTTTACATATTAAAAGTTTTGGGGCACGTCTCGTGAAGCAGTTTCAACAGTGACTGGATGTTTCAGCTTCATGATGGACAGCCATTATATTCTATTGATGGACAATAGAATCTGAGGAGGTGTCTAGTGGTTCAGTTTTGAAAAAAAAATCTGCATAAATATGTAGAAAGCAAAGATTCATAACAATACTGCCACCATGGTAGTGCTTATTTTAGTAATAATCGCTTTATATTTTTAATATCTATGTAATATGACTAACTTCCTCTGCTAAAAATCAATGTTCTTCATGCGATTGATGCCAAAAGCCAGTATTGATGTTAAATAATTAACAAAGAATATGTCATGCAATAGTTTGGACAAAAATGGAGAATTCTAAACTACTCTTGAGGAGATATAGGAGCTATATCGATGTGCTTGCACACATCACACGTTTATACATCTCTTTTCTGTATTCCTGAAGGTGGCAGCCCCTGCTGAAGCAGCTGAAGTCGGAGAGGCAGAGGAAGAGGCTGATGTTCAACCCTCTGTGACTGCAGTCCCTGTGTCTCCAGTTAGGCCTCCCATTCTCTGGACAGCCTGGGTCTTCTTTAAAGCTTTCTTTGCCTCTCTAATCCCTGAGGTTCCTCAGGGTATGGTCAACTGAGTGCTGTAAAGCCTAAAGTCTACATGTAGATGGACGGATATGGCAACCATTACACCCACACTGAGGAAGCACCAACCCTGCCTCCTCTTGATGGACATTCTCAGTCTGCTTAGAGTACCGTTGTGTTTTTGATGGAACTTTGTAAACATAATATGCGATTCCTGGTGTAGTCTTTTACTGTTAAATGAAGCTCCAGAATCGCTCATTCAGCACTTTCGAGCAGTTTGGCACTGTGACCAAAAACCTCATTTCTTCCTTTGGCCAAACGGTTGTGTATATAATGTAAATGAGTGCTGGATACAGATGTAAATATTTCTGTACAGTTTTGCACAGCACTTTATAATATCTCCATGCTAGCATTGGTCTCTCAGTCTGACTGTTATGCAGGGCTCCTGTCATCAGTACTTCATTTTCCCAGAGTGCTATAAGATGAGTGATCCAGGGATTAAACCCAGGAGCAGACCACGGCTTATCTCATCATGACTCAAGCATGATTGACAATGAAGCCCATTCATCAACTCTTTGTATACAAATGCCTTTTGTGACTGAGAGCGCCCATGGCTGGCACTTTCACAGTATAAGTTTTCTTTTTTTTTTTCCTCCCAGAATTAATTACTTGCAATTTCATTTTCCACACCTTACCTTAGAGCTGAAAGAGATGTACACAAATAAGTGGAGAAGATGAATCATACAGATAAAATATGAAGAGCACAGTAAGTGAATCATACAAATAAAATATTAAGAGCAAAGTAAGCGGTTCGTTGAGCAGAGAGGAGCGGATGATGTGACCTCTGGGTCAAACAAAGTAGGACAAACCTCGATTTGAATCCTCCAGCTTATTTACCCAAAGCTACTGCACACTGGCATGTTAAAGAAGTGAGTAGGAACCCTGAAAGCAAACAAGGCTCGGTACTTTGATGAAACAAATCATAAATGAAGGTTTTGATCTGGTATTTATCAGTATGTTTTTTTCCGTCTCATTTCATTTTCCTTTCAAAAGGAATCAGCTTGGCTAATGCTATTAAGATATGCTATTTAACTTTGTACAAGGAAGTGAAGTAATAAACTCCTTTCAAAAAAAGTTGTGGCTCCTTTATGATAAGGTTTACAAGTTGCTGAACAAGATGCTGCACCAAGAATTGTTTTTGTGTCATGGTAACACAATGGGAATGCTTTGTGTTCGTTCAATGTTTTATTTCTTTTTTGATTTTGCATTTGTTCTTGAACTTCAGCCAGAAGTGGACTGGCCTGCCGACAGCTGATAAACCATCAGAATGCAAACTTGCCTGGAATGACTGTCATGGAGCAACAGCTGGTTCTTTTAGAAAGGCATTTCCTGGTCATGCACATTCAATATGTACAAGGAGATCTTTTTGTGGGGCTATGTAGCCATAGTTCAAAGTCATTTACTGCCATTCTCCAGAGCTTTGGGGTAACTATTTGACATACTAACCCTATTCCCCTTTGTCATGTCATCAGCAGTCATATGTGTTGTCTTGCCTTGGCCTGGTGCGCTCTGTCTTGGTTGGTGTGGGTCATATATTTATGTTATAGAGGCCTCTTTATTTTTTCTGTCTCTCAGTAACCCCTGCTTGTCAACTGTTAGTGGACTCTGTCCGAAACGTCAGTTGCCTCCTGTCCTCCAGCTTGTTTTGGAGCCACCAGAGGAACACTGTGTCAAATCCAGCCCCTGATGGCCCCATCCGCCCCATTCCCTTTGAGGGTATGCCTTTATCCCTCCTCCTCCTTTCAGGTCTCTTAAAACAGAGGTATTTCAGAGAGAGGGAGAAAGAAAGCTAGTATCAGTTACAGCACAAGGCCAGAGCAGAGTCTTTGTTCAAAGACACTGAGGTGATGGACAAGAACATGGCAGCATTTGGTCTAGGACTGCTTCTCTTCGGTTTGGCTGGAGTGGGGCACTCGTGCCTGGATCCTGCTTCGGCCTACAGGTTCACTGGAGTTGTGTGCAGGCTCACCTACCCGGCTGCTGCAGTCTGTGAGTAACATTGTTAATATATTTTGGATTCAGATCTCCCTTGATATCCACTCACCTGTAAATGTGGCTCTGAAATAATGGAGTACTGTGGTGTGGACATTAGCAGGCTTCTGTGTTCAAGGGCTTATACTACACTGTAACGTATCTGATAATTCAACACTGAAATCTCAACTTTTTAGTCAAGGCGTGAGTTTAATCCATAACTGGAAAATAAGAACATAACGACTTCAAAACAGTATTAAAAGGTCAGTTTAAAACTGTAACGCCGCTTAGACACTTCCAGTGATCTCTCATTTATCGTCTTTCGTGGAAACCGCTCATTGATCAAAGCGCGATATCTGGGTTCATCCGATGAGAGTCACGTTAGGTTGAAGGGGCGGGGCTTATGTTATGCGCACGCCCACATTTAAATGACTAGGCATTTTTCCCCCCAGAATGTGCTTATGAATTATATAATCTGCAATTTTCGTTTGTATTTTTCTGAGCCAAATCTTTCTGTGTAGTACATAATTAGAGCTCTGACAAACCTTTTTAACACATCAAATATCGAACAATCGGATCGAATCTTCACCTCATTATCAAAGGTTTTTTTAAAGAACCCCTAGTTTTTCAAGGGTTCTTTAATAAGGGCAATGGTTCTATTTAGAACCATGAGTTCTATACAGAACTATTTCATGCTTAAATGGTTCTTTAGATTGATGGAGAACGTGTTGGTTCTACATAGCAGCAAAAAGCATTGTGCTACTGCTACAATGTCATGCCTGTAACAATAGAAGAACCTTTTTTGGTGCCATGTATAACAATTGTCAGAAATGTCTACAATTTTTTCTCACACTGCAACCAAAAGTTGAAGGCAAAAAAAAAAGTTTAAATGTGAAAAAACATGGTTCTTTTAGAGTTCTATAGTAAAAGCAATGGTTCTATTCAGAAACTTGTGTTCTATATACAACTATTTCATGCTTAAATCCTTCTTTAGATTGATAGAGAATGTGTTGTAAATGGTTCTATATAGAATCTTTTTGACAATAGTTATGTATGGCACCAAAAAAGGTTCTTCTATTGTTACAGGCTTGACACTGTAGCAGTAACACAATGGTGCTATATAGAACCAACACATTCTCCATCAATCTAAGAACTAGAGAGGAGGGGAAAGAAATCTGAGAACTTGGGCTGTAGTTCTGGGGAGCTTCTACTTGAAGCTAGAGGGCTGGACCCCCTGTGATGATCAGATGGAAGAGATGGGGTGGGGGTGTAGTGTCGAATATTTATATTAGCACTAAAATGTGACCCTTCTAATCTCCAAGTTGAATTCTTCCGACAGTCATGTTCAGGTCACATTATTGTCCGGGCTGCCTTCCGTCACCCTTTTATGACCTCTGTGTTCTTTGGTTGGTGCTCCAATTGTACTGTTTCTCCAGTTACTAAGATTATTGCCAATTAATAACAAAGTTGAACTCTACAGTGAACGAGAAGACTACAGAAGTGATCAAGGCTGCTTTCCAACATGCCAAATACCCCAATATTGAGGGTGAGAAGTCCATGTCATTCATTGGCAAACTGAAATATGGATTGCACAAGTAAGTGAACCAACATTGCCAGTAAAACCGTGCCTATGTACACATTATGTTTGTTGTACATACTTCTATCTTGCATCATCACAGAAGTCAGTACTTTTCACATACTTGGGTGGAAACCAATTGAAACTTTTTTCTGTCTTAAATAAAATACTAGTCTTTCATTTCTGCTGTACACTGTAGTAAATTAAATTGAAAAAGTCTTTTATTGCTGCTGTGCATAATTTATATATTGTATTGTGTGTTGTATTAGAAGCCCATTTTTTTTCATAATGGTCACCTCAATTCTAGTTTGGAGATCCACAACTTGTCAATTGGGAGGAGTGACTTTGAGCTGCGGGAGAACATAGGCATAGGAATTGACATCTCCAATGTTTCTGCTGTTTTCAAGGGAACCATCAAATACTTATATGGCGGTGCTCTGTAAGTAACCCAGCGCTTTATCACATGGAAGAGAAGATCGAAAAAAAAAATGTCTCAGCAATACTAAATAGCCCAGTTTCACAAACATAGATCAATTTACAGCACAGTCCACACGTATTTTTTTTTGGGCTGTTTTCCAAAAAATGCACTGAATAAATATGAGTGATGGTGATGATCTGCAAGCCAACCAGTTCAAATGGTAGGCATACATGCCCATGCCACCATGCTACAGGTGTATGAGGTGGTATGCTTTGGGTCCTTCCACATTTTCCTCATTCCATCACTCTGACACAGATTAATCATCATCTCACTGTCTGTAAGACTTAATCTCCAAACACTATCAGCTTTTAATGTACTTTCTTGCAAACTGTAATCTAGCCTTGCAGTTTCAGCATTCATTACTCCCACATCCTGGACTGTGTTCTTCATCTGTTACATAGTTTTTTGTTCATGATAGAAAGTGTTCTGCAGTTATCTACTCTGGTATGCCATGTTGCTCACCAATGCATTCCTGCCACATACCGAACAGTTTCTGTTTCTGTGTGATTTCCACAGGCTGTGATTTCTACAAGGTTCATCCAGGATACAGTGGGGTCCAAAAGTGTGAGACCACTAGTGAAAATTCTTTTATTAACATAACAATTTGAATGGGTGTAGTATGTAGTATCTTTGAAATTTTCAGAATTTCTTAATATTTGATAAGTCCCCGTTGAGTAGATTCAATACTGAGAATCGTCTGAACACAAGCTTCACTGTAAGAGATAAGACAAAAATCTGACCTTTTTGTACAAAGGCCTCAACATGGTCAGTGTCTTAAATTTGCTTAAATTTGAATAGTGACCTAGTAATAGTGCAGAAATATTTCTTCTTCATTTACTTACCAGAACTTTTCTTTGATTGAAATGTTTCAAAATTCTAAAATGTCCTGTTGTTTATTTTCAGGTTTAAATGAAATAAAATCCCAAATTTTCAATGTGGTCTCAGACATTTGGACCCCACTATAGATGTAAATATCCTTTAGTGGGTATTTGCTGGATTACAAAGGCAAAACAATATAAAATTGTATCAGTGTTCAGGTTGCTTGCATGCTGCACTGTATGTTGCAACTTTCTTTCTAATTACCTTTCACTTTTCACATAAATATTATTAAGTTTCCTCCACACTTGAAAAGATGGTTCTTCAAGGGTTCTTTAGTAAAAAAAGAACGCTTTGCATGATTAAAGGGTTCTGTGCATCATGAAACGTTCTTCATATTGATGGAGAATGTGCCATGTATGGTTCTATATAGAATCCTTTCAAAAATGATTTTGTATAGCACCAAAATTGGGTTCTTCTATTGCATCAAGCTTGACATCGTAATTATAGCAGAACCCTTTTTGGTGCTATATAGAGCCCTTTTCAAAAAAGTTCTATGTACAGGCATGTATGGCACATTCTCCATTAATCTGAAGAACACTTTCATGATGCAAAGAAACTTTTAATCATGCAAAGAGTTCTTTGAGTGTTCATGGTTCTATATAGAACCATTATCTTTACTAAAGAACTCTTGAAGAACTATTTTTGAAGAGTGTAGAATAGAATAGATCAGTGTTTTCCTATCCTGAACTATTCTAGCATTGTACATTTTAGTGCTTTGCTCTAACACACCTGATGAAGGATGTGAGTTAGCTGATTAGCTAGTTAGTTAGTGTTACAACAGGAGACGCATGAAACTGTGGACAGAATTAGGAACTAGGATTAGGAAATCCTGCTTAAATGTGATGTTTTAATGCCATATTCTCTGTCATACAGCTTCACAGTGGGCCATTCAATTGATTTTGAAATTGAGTCCAAGATTGACCTGGCCATCAATTCCAAGCTATGTAAGTTTTTGTTTTCTTCATAAAGTCATAGTTAACTCTTCATGATTAACTCTTTATAATGTGTACATATACACTAGGTGTGTTTACATGTACTTAATAATCTGATAACTGCAGAAAATACATAACTGGTTCAACATATTTACACATGTGCTTGGGTAATCAAATAATGAAAACTCCACTTCTGCAAGAGTCAGGCAAAAATCACAGCTAGTAAACTCACAGAATAAGACATGAGTGTAATGTAAAACTCAAACGTCATGTCAAGAGTTTAATTTAAAAAACATCAGAAAACATAAATATACATCATCTAGAAAACAAAGAATATTTAAATTCTTCATTTTGTTGAGCATGTACTTGATTGTAGCATCGCTCTAAAAGTGTTTGGTTGCCATCTCATGAGTGCCGTGTTAAACACTCCTTGCTGTTTCCTGGGACAGTGCTCTGTTTTCACACAAAAAAAGAAAAAAACATTAAAAGAAACCACAGTAAGAGTATAAATGTGCTGAAAAAGCCAATTATTGTGCTAAAATCCAGCGCTCTAGATTTCTAGAAATCTTTAAACATGTGGAAGCATATCAGTATGAAAATGAAAATAAAAATGTGATGTGTAAAATGGTAATGTATTTGTATGTTTGCATTAAAGTTTCCCACTCACTGCCATTTGGTGTACTAGTATTGACATTTCATTTACACAAAGATTTAAATGCTTAATGAGTGGCTTTATTCCAGTAACAGTGTATTCCTAGCACTACATGGATTATGGTACAATTATGTTCCCTGACTAAAGGTACTGAAATACACCCTTGAGGGTACCACCCCAGTGACAAGAGGGGTACTGCTCCAGTGACAGTTTTAAGCACCAAGCTAGAAAGAGGGCAAAATTCAAATGTAAAAAGAAAATAGCTGCTCTCCTCTTTGCAATTGCATATTCTTGCCTACTGTGCTCATTCTGTAGCAAAATGCCTTTGAGCCCGATTGCATTTTCATTTTCATGGTCTTCCCAACTTGTCAATCATCCTGTCAGGACAGGGCCTTTATCCAATCTAAGAAATCGGAATGTGCTGTTTACATGACAACTTCTGATCTGATCTGATAATGAGCATATTATAAGTGTGCATGTAAACGCACTCGCTAAGTTTCCAGTTTATCGGATACACACTGCACTAGTGAGTTAGTGTGTGCTGTGCTTGTACGAGTGTAACAGCAGTGTTATTATGATTTTTACTGTAAAACTAATCTTAACTGCTGGCCAACCAAAAATGACCAGCCAGCAGAGGTCCAGAGGTCAGAACATGGTTGCCACCTCAGCTCTAGGAAATTCCTTGGTAGAACTTTATTTGAATAGTCCACTTTAGAGCCTTTGTAGATGCTCAGTCTATCTTTAACTACCTATTAAATCCAATTGAACTTGAAGTTGCATATGAAAGATTCTATTAAATCATCCCTTAACACTAAACCTAGCCCTCAGGGAAAAACCTACTCCTAAACCTAACCCTAACCTTAATGTTGTTGATAATCAATCATTGAATATCTGTATATCACCAAGAAGTTTGTTAATAATAAATATAAGTATCTGTAGACCTATATGGGACCATCCAAATAAAGTGTGACCAGTTTTTTTACTAAATTCGGTGGACAGGTAGCCCTCCTCATGATGCAGTCTACAGTAGACAGATGTCAGTTCAGTTACAGAACTTAATCTGCTGCCTAGTACCTAAATATGTCACCAGCAGTGCACCTTCTCCAAAAAAATGCTCCTATGTTGAGGGTAATCTGAACTAATCAAACCCATTCTTTGTATAAAAATGGTTTGACTGGATTAAACAAAGTACTTTAAACTTCATGAAAAATACTATCATATCATTGCTGTCCAAAACAGCAATTATAATGTTAACACAATAGGAACTTTACAGGAGAAGACAAAACTGTTCTTAAGCTTTAATGTAAGTTAAGAAGAAATAATAATAAAATAAAAAATATAGATGTAGATAAAAATGTTTTAAAAATGTCAATAAGAAAATGCTTGGATTCCTGGACATTTCTTGTCAGAAACTAACCATGGATTAAGGCTTTTGGATAACTATTTGTACACGTCCATAAATACCTTGGCAACCCTGCTGCACCTCATTTCCAGCGCATCACACACTACCTTACCACTACCATGTTGCTGTTACTGCTGTGTTACTGTATTGATGACTTTCCACTGTAATGACTGGGCAAAGAAAAGCAACACAGCAGTCTGTAATGGCAAACCCACAAAGTAGGTGCACCTGATAAACTGGCCAGTGAGTGTAGATACAGAGTACCAATAAACTGGCATCTTCTCCTTCTGCTCTGAGAACAGCAGAGTAGAATGTTGAGAACTGGGTTGTGCTGATGCCTGGGTGTTTGAATGGGCCATGAGATGGTGACAGCATGTTATCTCTTGGTTTTAGACTGTGGAAATGGCAAAGTGGCTGCAGACACCTCAGACTGCTACCTTACCTTCCACAAGCTGAAGCTTCTTCTGCAGGGTGACCGAGAGTGAGTCGACTAGTCCAAACTGTAGGAACAATCCACACATGTTCAAAGGAATGTTTTTATGTGGTTGTGGAGTTCTAGATACAACCACTAAAGTTCCTTTGGTATCCAGTTGATGGCTCTGTAACACCAGTGACAGTATATTGTGCATTTTTTCAAATTGCTGTTCAAATTGTAGCTGGATGCTGGACAAGAGGTACTTATGGGTCCTTGCAGGTGGCTCACCATTTTTGTGAGCCCTTCATATTCATTTGCACATTTTCTGCTTTTATGCTCTTACCAAATCTCTAGTACATTTGAACAAGTAATCCATTTTACCTTTTGATTCTTTGCAGCATAATGTACAACAACAAAGTAACACATGTAAAACATGTCAGAATCTAATGGTGATAATACATTTGCACTTGCACTGTATAATGTCATGGTACCCATAAATAAGAGATTGACCTAAAGTTGTGGTAGAACAATGGTAACACTTTGAACTTCATACTTCTGAGATTAGTGTTTAAAATCCTTTGATGCCAGGTTCAGGTTATTTGTGTAAAAATGGTTTGACTGGAAAAAAGAGGAAGTTTAAACTTAATAAGAAATACTAACATATCATCTTCAACATAGTGTCAAGTGAGGCTGAATCCAAAACATGGCTCATTTAAAAGAACTCTCTAATATGGCTGTTTGCAGGCCTGGCTGGATAAAGAAAGTGTTCACAGATTTCATCACCTTCACAATGAAGCTTGTTGTAAAGGGACAAGTGAGTCTATTGCACAGCTCTGCACTCTGATGTTCTTTTAGACAGACACAATGGTAGAAAATACAATACACAAATTTTGTGTGTCTGGAACTTACACTAGCAACCCATACAACACAGTACTGAAAGTTTTTTATGCCAATTACAGATCTGTAAGGAAATAAACAAGGTGGCAGACATACTAGCAAACTTCATACAGGAAACGGCAGGTAGGATTCAGCAAGGAATTTGCATGCACTTTATCTGCTGTGTGGGTGTGTAGGTGTGTGTGTGTAAAAGAGACACAAAGAAGCTCTGTTTTTTTCTGATTATTTCCTTCTGAATGAGCAGAGGAGTTTCTGAGTGATGGTGACATCCATGTGGATATTGACGTGACCTCTGCCCCAGTCATCACTTCCAATTACATAGAGTCATACCACAAGGTAGCCCATAGTGTCCTGTTTCTCAATACTAGTGTCCTGCTACACTTTTTAAGCGCAAAAGTATGTGGACACACCTCTTAATTATTGAGTTCAGGTCTCTCAGACACATCTATTCCTAACAGGTGTAAAAAATCAAATACACAGCCATGTAATCATCAATAGACAAACATTGACTGAACTATGGGAAGAATTGGATCATCAATTGTGAGCCAGTCCTTCTTGTCCAAAATCAGTACCTGACCTCACAAGTGCTCTTTTGACTCATTGGTTTACAGTTACAGTTTCCAAAAGACACACTCTAAAATTTTGTGGAAAGCCTTCCCAGAAGAGTGAAGGTTGTTATAGCCACAACGGGGGTCCATTTCTATTTTAATTGCCCATGATTTTGGGATGGGATGTCCAATAAGCTCATATAGGTATAATGGTCAGGTGTCCACATACTTTTGTAGTATACAGTCATATGCAAATGTTTGAACCCCTGGTCAGGTAACCCATCCTCTACAGGGAGCAAAGTTAAATATGGCATTTTTCTGCCAATTTTAGTGCACAATTTCTATATCTATAATTTTTTCTGAGTTTAACATATTGGAAAAAATTAAATAGAAAATATAAAAATGTGCCATAACTTTACACAGGCCATATTTTGTGTTCTATTTTTTCCCAGTATTTTCAATTCAAAATAAACAGTAATTGTGCTTTAAAATGCTGTCTGTAGAGGATGTGTTAACATATTTTCACTTAGAATATCAACATGTCAAACATGTCGCTTGACCAGGGGCATCCAAACTTTTGCACATAACTATATCTTTGCTTACTTTAGGTTTTGGCTTCAAAAGGCTTATCTCCCTTTGCTTTCAGATTTGGCACCACACAGATGGCTGCAGGAAGTGGGCTATGTTTTAGCTCACGGTGTTGTTCGCTGACTCATACATTATTTCCATGGTTAACAGGGTCTCGTGACCTATAATGGCTCAACCTCAGTGGTCAGTGCCTCCGTGTTTAACCCAGACCAGCTCTCAGAGGACCGCAGCCTTCACTTCTGGATCTCTGATGACATTCTGAACCCCCTCATGACTGCAGCCTATGACGACAGACGATTTGTCCGTAACATTTCAGGAGAAGACCTCAGAGTATGTCACAAGATATTAAACACAGATGCAGGACCAAGGTGGAATGTTAAAGGGGGTATACAATCAGCACATTGTTGGTTGCTTCCAGAAACCTTACTTTAAGCTTCTAAAACCTGGAGAACAGGTGGTGATATTAAATGTAATGTTTATGGAATCTACCAATAGTGTGGAGATCTTATTTTGCACCTTCTGCCAACCTTATTTGGGCAGAGGTGGGTGCCCTAATTCCATACTCAAGTGAGAGTATTGTAACTTTAGTGAAAGTAGAGGTGAACATATCTTTTGAATAAGCAATGTTAGAAGACGCACAAAAGAAGTACTAATCCCTCAGTCTATTAGCATCGGAACTGAAGTTTCTTCTCTTTTTGGAAACGTTTTGGTCTAAAATAAAATGTCTGGCCATTCACAAAGCAGTACAAATGCTGTCACCAAGGTAATATTATGAAATTAAACAGAAAAAAGGAATTAGTAATCAAATGTGAAGGACAAAAATGCAAATAAATGAATAGTTCTCATAAATATACTTGAGTAAAAGTACCATAATTTAAAAATACTCAGAAAACTTAAAATCTATCCAAATTCTACTTGAGTTCATTTACTTACATGTATAATGGAACTAGTTACCTACTACCCACTTCTGTATGTGGGGCACACATAACCTAATTTTTGCATTGCATATTCACCACAGCTGTGACAGAAAAACTGAACTGACTGTTTTTCATCACAGTTCCTGTTCCAGACAGAGCTATCCACAGCCAGGCCTGAGTTACTCAACAAGGTACCGTGGTTTTCATTCTCTCACCCCTGAATTATAGCAGCTTTAGGCTTCCGGCTTCTGTGGTTGTTGCCATAGAAATATGTAAACCTAACCTTGCTTGGAACACAGCCACAATTGTTCTTTGGAGAATTGTTGCACTGCAAGGGCTGAAGGATTGTGAGAGCCTCAAGCTTTTTTAAAAAAGTGTTTATGCATCTAACTTGTCAGTCTGGTTCAGTTGCTGTTTATCAGTGCATACTATGCATGTTTAATTATTCAGTAGGGCTTCTGTGGTTTTGTATTTGTCTGCATGTTTTAGTGGCTGTCCTCTGAGGAGCCGTTGTTGAAAACATGGAGTGCATTGGTTCCCCGTCTCTGGACGACCACTCAGGGCACGTCAGTTAAAGCAGTGGCTGCGGTGGAGCTCTCATCTGCCAAAGAGGACACGCCTCCTGCACTTTACTTTGAGACGGTCAGTGAACATATTTAAGTTATCAGTTTACTAGGTACACCTACCCTGTATCTACACTCATTTGGTCATGTTATCAGCCACACCTACCATATACAGTACTGTGCAAAAGTCTTAGGTACCTAAGCAAATAGTAGAATAAATGCATATGTTAGTGTAGTTAAACCAACAAGAAAAAGTAGTTAGTTAGAAGTTCAAAGTTTGATTTTATGTACTTATGTTATAACTGAAGTTTGGGGGGAGGAACATGCCTGAAACCTCTCCTTCTACCACACTAACACCCTATAAATTCATATCCTCACCCATGACGAAGGGTTTGCAATCCTCACTGCCACCCCATCTCCCTGTTCCTCAGTCCTACTACAGCTGGTGGTGGTGTTGGGGTGCAGGTCTGGCCTCTCCCCTCATACTACCACCAAGCTGAAGGCATAGTCTGAACTCACAAACAACTTCTTGATGCCCTCAGCCATTTCATGGCCTTATTAAAGTCCATTACAGCATTCCTGATTTAAGAAGTATTGATTAGCCAAACCAAGTACTGGATGAGAATGACAAATACACTTGGCTGCTATAAGAAGCGGTATGGAAATGGCTAGACAAACATAAGGATATGTATAAAATTAATACTTTTTTGTATTAATGTTACAGTGCCTGGCACTGCCCAATGGTACCACATTTTTGGCAATATGTAATTGACCACATCGCCATTCGTCTGGGCTCCATCACGTCAGTGTCACTGCTGTGCTGAGAATGATCCACCACCCAAATAATACCTGCTCTGTGGTGGTCCTGTGGAGGTCCTGACCATTGAAGAACAGGGTGAAATGTTACTAACAAATTATGCAAAACAGATGGATTACAGTCCGTAATTGTAGAGCTACAAAGTGCACCTATATGATGGAGCTGATTAAATGGGCAATGAGCATAGATATAAGGTAGGTGTACCTAATAAAGTGCTCAGTAAGTGTGTATCAGACACATCATACACAGTTTGTGTTAGTCATTCTCTAGCCCTTCGTCAGTGCTCAGTTCCTGACCACAGGACCAGTGTTGGCTGGTGGACTATTCTCAATCCACCAGTGACATTGCTGTGTTTCATAGTCTATCTACTTGGTGACCACTGCTGTGCTGAGGTGCTTTGCTCATATAGTGGCCTCTTTCCTTTGATGGACAGGGTAGAGAGTGGCTGATAAACTGTGCAGGTGGGCTACAGTCAGTAACATCTTGTAAGCCTACAAAGGGCACCTCTATGGTAGGTATAACTAATTGAGCAAAGAGTGTAAACACAGGGCAAGAGTACTTACAAAACTGACACCACAGAGTTCAGTGATGACATCATTGTCTATGATTTTCCTGAAACAAATATCCATTTTATAATCTTCCTGGATCTGGTCCTTTTAGGAAGTGGAAGTCCTTGTGAGGGCTTCCTATGCTGATAAGAATCTCATCCTGAATTGTACAGCAGCGCAGTGAGTATGTCTCTTGGTCTTTACTTTTACTACCAGCTCTTATTTTCTTGCTTCTAATATGTTTTATCCTGTGTGGATTATAGTATATCCATATCAAAGGTTTCCACTTCACCAGACGTTTCTGAGGTAAGGACTGGATTGTGAACTGGAGCTAAATGTATATGTTGTGTATAAATAATTCCATTTATAAATATTTATAAATAATAATTTCTTATTTATGCTTTTACTATGTTAATGCTATGAACTCTCTTCTTGTCATTTAAGATGGAGAAGAGCTTAAATGCTTATCTTCAGGAAGCCGTTGAAAAGATTGGTATCACCAAAGTCATTTCCTGTGAGTCCTGTGTGTGTCCATGTGCCTTTGTTTGTATTTGTGTGTGTGTGTGATCACCCTTTTCACAATCTGACATATCCTCAGACCTAGAGCCAGAATTAACTGCTCTGATGAACGAGCAAGGACTCCATCTCTTTGATATCATCAACCCTGAAGTAATACCTCAAAATGTGAGTATAAAATCTATTCTTTTAATACTTTTTGTCCAGCATAACCCAGTAACATCAGCACTCTGATAAAATAGTGAAAGAAGTAGATATATGAATGCGCTGTCCATACAGTTGTATGTAAAAGTTTGGGCGACCCTGGTCAAATTACATGTTTTGTTGATTTTCTGAGTGAAAATAGGTTCCATAGAGAGCACTTCTGCATATTTTAATATAAAGTTACTGTTTATATGCTGAATTTAACAAACTAGGGAAAAACAAAAACATACAACTTTTGCCTGTGCAAAAGGGCACAATTTATATTTTTTCCAATGAGTTAAACTCAAAAAGTAAAAATAAATAGAAATTGTTTGCAGAAAAATATCATATCTAATTTGTTTCCTGTAATAACAAACCTAGAAAATCAGCAAAACCTGTTCACTTTGTGTATTTTTAAGAATCTACTCACAATGCACACAAAACACACTTGCAATTTTCCCAATTGCATTTACACGGTTGGATGGTCTGTGGTGAACATGAGTCTTGTCTTTTTTTCTCTTTCTTCATGCAGGGCTATGTTTTAATACAAATGGACTTTGGTTTTCCTCACCATCTGCTGGTGGAGTTCCTCATGAAGACTCTGGATTGACATAAACAATATATACATATAATATATGTATAATATCTACACACACACACACACACACACATATATATATATATATAGGTTCTTGACCTCTTCTCAAAACCACCAGCATTCCTGTTAATTTAATAAAGTATTGATTGAAGCAAATCTGGCATTGGATGACAACTACAAATAATTGTAAACAATTGACTGCAAAAAGGAGAGCTTTTTGTTTTTTTTTGTTTTTTTTTATGTATTAATGTTTTTTATTTGTTCTATCATTAGTGTGTTTATTAGCAAAGAAACCAGTGCTGCCCAGATAAATATCTTTTAAAATGTATTTTCCTCAGGTGCCTTTAGTCTTTTTGCTCAATACTGTGTATTTCTCACTTTGGTGTCTTGGTAAAAGCAGTAATGCAGTTGTTACAGAATATAAAAATCCACATATGTGATTAATTTTACTCTGATAAGAGTTAACCATCCATGTGTGCAGTTTAAACCGATGTTAGATTCCTCTTTCCTGCCTAGACTTGTAATACATGTTCTTAAGAACCAAAGAATGTGTCTCACAGTAATTTAGGCATCCAAAAATAAACTTTAAACCATGTAGCTTTTGTTAGTTAAGTGATTATAACATAATAAGTATGTGATATCAGAATTAGAATGAGCCACCAAGAACTATCATCCCATAAGCAAAAGATATATATTTCCATATATTTTTTCAAAATATTGTCACGTGTAATATACTTCCATATATGTTTGACATACAGTATATGTAAATATCAAAATTTGACTCTATTACATGTATTTCATCTACAACTGTGCACATATTTCAATATATTGACATATATAGTGCTTTGCAAAAGTGTTCAATCCTCTTAAAAGTCATTAGAGTCATTTGGATTACAAATGAAACTTTGATATTTTGTGCTGTGTCATATTTTACTTTAAAAATAATTAAAGTGACATTGGTTTCATGTCAGAAAATATTTTGTGACATAAATTACTAACTGAAAAATGTTGTCTGCATAAGTCTTCAACTCCTGTGCTGTAAAAAAATGAAAGATATTGCTCTAACGAGGACACAATTGGCATCTACATGTGAATCATTAAAGAAGTAAATATTTTCTGGATAAAAGACCACCTTAATTCAAGTACCAATGATCAGACTGTTAATCTGAAGGAAAGCTGTGAAAATGAAAAACCAAAGAGCATTCTACAGAAATTGAAAAAAGCCACAGAATAATATTCAAGTGTTTAGATATCACAGTGAGCACTGTTGAATCAATTGTGAGGGCATGTAAGCTGCATCATACCACCCAGGCACTGCCTAAACAAGGCCATCCCTCAAAACTCAGCATCAGAAAAAGAAAGGGGACCTGTGTGGAAACAAACAGACAGGTCAACGATCACATTGAAGGAGCTACATAGTTGAGCGGAAATTGGAGTGAAGGTGCATAAGTCAACGATGACAAGAGTTCTGCATACAACTGGCATGTAGGGGAGGGTGGCTAGAAAGAAGCCTTTACTGAAGTAAAAACACATCAAAGCATGTCTGGAGTTTGCCAGAAAGCATCAGAGTGACCCAGCTGAAATGTGAGATAAGCTTTTGTGAAAGCTTTTTTTTTGAGAAAAAATGTAGCTTTCTGGCCAAAATTCAAAATACTAGGTGTGACACAGACCTAACACTGCCTATTTCTCAATAAACACCTTGCTAACAGTGAGGTATAGGGATGGCATCATCCTGTTGTGGGACTGCTTCTCCTCAGCAGGGACTTGTTAAAATTGAAGGACAGATTAATAGTGCAAATACAGGGAGAAACAAACCTGTGCAAAACAAACCAGCTTCAGTCTGCTAACATACTAAAGCTTGTGAGAAAATTTATCATGCAGCAGGATGATGATCCCAAGCACAAGGCCAAAGCAACACAGGAGTGGCTGAACAACAAAAAGGTGAATGTTTTCCAATGGCCAAGTCAAAGTTCAGGTTCCAGTTCACTATTGAATCTGTGGCATTAATTGAAAATTGCAGTTTACAAGCTTCCATCTAGCCTGAGCAACCTGCACAAAATCTGCCAGGAAGGGTAAAAATCACTCCCAAACAGTGTGCAAAGCTGATAGAAACTTACTCCAACAGACTTTAAGCAGTCATTGCATCAAAAGGTGGTTCAAGTACTAGCCTGAAGGGGTTGAATATTTATGCAAGCAGCAGTTTTAATTTTTTTAAAGATGTGCCAACAACTAATTAATTCTGGCTTTGAAAATTTACTTTAACAGCCTATTGATTTGCAATAAAAATGGCTGGAACAATCTCTTTTATAATCTAGAAGAACCTGATGACTTTTAAGAGGGTTGAAGACTTTTGCAAGGCCCCATATGTACATATATTAGCATATATTTAAATATTCAAAATGGCACAGCTAAGTATATCTATCACATATATTTTAAAACATCACTTACATTACACAGATATTTTTAATAAGAGCAAGTATACACTGATCAGGCATAACATTATGACCACCTCCTTGTTTCTATGCTCATTGTCCATTTTATCAGCTCCACTTACTATATAGGTGCACTTTGTAGTTCTACAATTACAGACTGTAGTCCATCTGTTTCTCTGCATACTTTGTTAGCTCCCTTTTACCCTGCTGTGTCTGATCCACTCGTACCAGCACAACACACATTAACACACCACCACCACGTCAGTGTTACTGCAGGGCTGAGAATGATCCACCACCCAAATAGTACCTGCTCTGTGAGGGTCCATGGGGGTCCTGACCACTGAAAAACAGGGTAAAAGGGCGCTAACAAAGTATGCAGAGAAACAGATGGACTACAGTCTGTAACTGTAGAACTACAAAGTGCACCTATATAGTAAGTGCAGCTGATAAAATGGACAATGAGCATAGAAACAAGGAGGTGGTCATAATGTTATGCCTGATCGGTGTATGTACATCTATACTGCTTTCAGATTGGACATTGAAACAGACATAGTAACAAGTAAAAATGAATGGACTCGACCAGAGAGGAGAAAATAATACAGTAGATCATAATAATAATAATCTCTTGTGCAAGTGGTGAAAAATTAGAATGTCTACTTATTTTCTGTCTGCATGTACAAAATACACTATGTTCAAGCTGAACAATATACTGCTAAAGAGTTTCAGTATGAACCAGCTGTGAGTAGTGCCGTGTAAAGCTGGGCATTGCTGTGTTAAGGTAATTACAATGAGAAAGCACACACACACACACACACACCACAAACCACCAAAACACATTAAAGACTCCGGTGCATGTGTTTTTGGCCACACGGTGGTGCTGTTGTCTCCCATTCGATTTATGAGGAACTGTAAACATGACCTGAACTGACCTGCTTTTTTTTTTTGCGCTTTTTAATAATACCGGGCAAGTTCATCCACAAATGCGTGGAAAAGAAGTATACCTGAGCTTTATATGTAATTCAGTGCTGTTCGGCTGTGTGTAAACTCACTCACTCTCAGGACTGCATGACTGCGCGCTTTAGTTCAGTATCACTGTGAAAAGTTCGATTCAGCCCGAATTAAAGAATCGAAGCCAAATCTGCCCGGTTTACTTTCGTTTTCTCTTCGTCGCCCTGGCGAGATGCGACCAGATGGGCGCGGTGGTAAGCAGCACCAAAATTAAACTCTGTTTATAAAACAGCGTATTTTTCTAATTTTTCTCCTCGGGATTGTAACATCTCTGGCTGTTTCTGTTTCGGGATCTCCTGTGTGGTCTGGTCTGTAAGGTCTGGCCGTTACCTCCCGCTGAGGTCGTTAAACGGTTAAACGGAGCGGCGCGGGGCTCGTGCGCCAGAACCTGGGCGCGTGGCTTGATAGCAAAACCTTCACGCGCTGCAACTTTGGCGCCCTTTGGTTGTTCTGAATTTGTAGTTCGCCATATAGTTAGCCTTAGCTCATAGCTCACTACGCCCTGTGGAGAGAGTCCTGTTTAATGACGCACGTGAAAAACTGAAGGTTGGAATATGCGGGGTTTGGTGCTAATCCGGCTCTTGAGGGGGGTTTATTTCTATTTTAACATAAGCGGTATTATTTTTATGCATATTCAGCAGTTAACTAAGGCGTATACTGTATTGAGCCAAAATGGAAGCAGTGTCTTTGTCTCTTTCATTCAGACTTTCATTTATCTCTCTATGGGAGGTATCACATCCTATAGGGATTAATGCAGGATTCCTTTAAGAATCTTATAGTGACTTAAGATAATGACTATAGTTTACTTCAGGCTATTACACAAGTATTAGGTTACTAGAAGACAATAACTACAAGGATTTTATAGGTGGCAAAAATGATAGAGTTCTATAAAAGTATTATACAGAATTATGTAATTCTTTTAATATTATTAGCCCCATTGCACTTATTAAAGAAGCTCAGAGAACACAGTATAGTGTGCTTACTTAAATTCCCCTTACCATGTTAGGTAACTGCCCGCACTGCTTAGCAATATGTGTGACCTAAATAAAACAGACTGTGTTTCCAATTTACCACACACACTTGTATGGCAACTACAGGTTAGCTGTTCTGTCCTTCGACAGCATATACGTACTGAAATAGGGATATTTCTACATCTGCAAATGTCTACTTCAGTGATCTGTACCGATGAAAACAAAATGAAGTTCCTTAACTCAAAATAAGCAGTTTCTTAAATGAGTTAAAATTGTTGTTTGCCCACAGCAAATGGATGAAGATGGAGGAGGTCGATTTGGAGAAGGATGTTATGAAAGTAGTGGCCGAGGAGGCCACTGTAATAGTGGACGTTCTGTGCAGAGAGAGGAATAATGTTTTGGAGCAGATCTATGGCCTGGTGGAACGCAGTACTCGTGACTGGCTTCGGAGCCTCCCCAGTCTCAGGGAAAGGGTTTTGGGCATTGTGGATTATTTCAAGGCCTCAGATCCTCAGAAATGCTGCCAGTTTCTCGAAACCATGTGGATGTTTTGTCAGAGTATTCCCTTGGACTTTGAAACAAAGGTGTTGTCTATAGCTGGATCTTCAACTGGTAAGTAACATATGATGTAGTGTCACCTTCTTAGTGTAACAAAGAAGCTTCAGGTCATGTGTATCTTGTGCATGTTTTATACGAGGCAAGTAAAAATTGCAACCTTATTTTTAATTTTTTGGTTAGGATAATATAATTTAACACAGTCATTCAGAGTTTTAAGACATGTATTAGCATGCAGTGCTGCAGTATCACTTTCTTTCCATAACAGAACGTAACCAGCGGTACTCTTATTATGAAAAGACAAACTATTAAATCTATACGTATGTTTGTGGTAGATTTAATTGTATTCTTTTTGTTGTGCTATATGAGATGAAATGTAATGATGTAACTGTAAGAAAAGATGTATTTACTTAGTGCCGATCACAGGTCATTATACAAAGTGAAATGAAGTGAAAGTGAAAGAAAGATCGTAAAAGAATAATTGTGGCATATTGGGTATTGTTTATATGCTCTTATGTAGAGATCTGGAATTTACCTAAAAGTCTGATTTGTTTTTTTTAATGTGTGCTTTGAAGGAGCGCTGAGCTGTTTTCCAGAGACTGAAAATTCTCCGCGATCATGTAACGCAAAACGTGTATGCTTAGGTACTTTTGACTTCTGTCTGTTCTAGACCAACACACATACCTGCAAACTCACATTTATTATGTACAAGTAAGGACTATAATGTATATTAGTTCTAATACTAATTACACTAATATTAAGAAACTAACACTAATGTTTTTTTATTCAGACCAGGTGGAGAGTTACACAAATGCAGTTAAGCTCTTACTGCAACAGAAATTTGAGAGGGTGACAAAGGATGTAGTGAAGGAGGTTTGCCTGGACGAGACATGGATGTGTTTAAGGCAACGAAATTCTGCTCGACTGAGAGACAAATCTGCACAAGCTCAGGAGGGTGAAGAACCCTTAGAGTGTAAAGAGTCAGCTGAGTCTCTCTTGAGGTCCACTGGCCGAGTGGTAGTACTGTTGGGTCAGGCTGGTTCTGGTAAAACTCTCCTGATGCACTGCTTGGCCCATCATTGGGCCCAAGGCTTCTACCCCTCCATTAAGCTTTTGTTCCTGTTGGAATTCCGCCAGCTCAACCTTGTGTCGCAGCCATTGTCCCTGAAAGAGCTGTTGTTTCGGTTTTTTCTTCTACCTGAAGGTGGCGATGAGCAAAGTGAGGCAGTTTTCAGTTACATCCTCTCCAACCCAGAGAAAATCTGCTTCATATTTGATGGATATGATGAGTTTGGGACAAAATTCACGGATCCAGAGAAGCTTCCTAGTCCTTTAGGCCCCTACCAACAGTTATCAGTGGCCGATCTCCTCTCTGGGATCTGTAGCTATAAGATCCTGCCCAAGTGCACTGTGCTGGTCACTTGCAGGCCACGGGATGTGATTGACCTATTTGGGAGTTCCGGCTACCTTGTCGCAGAGTTGCTCGGATTTAGTCAGCAACGTGTGAAGGAGTACACTGAGAAGTACTTCCAGGAAAAGGGAAGCGAACTTAAAGAAAGGGCAGCGAGTCTGCTGATGGGGAGCCGCCATCTGCTCTCCATGTCTCATGTTCCAGCACTGTGTCATGTCTGTTGCGTCTGCTTGGACCACTTTCTCTCTGAAGACACATCTCAGTCACATGTAAAGCTGCCCACCTCCTTGACTCAAATCTACCTCCACATCTTGTCTGCCTTCCTTAGTCGTTGCCAAGGTGGAGGAAGCACCAAAGTTACTATGCCTTTACTGCAGAAGTACAGGGGTCAGATCGCTGAGCTGAGCAGACTTGCAATGAATGGCCTGGAGAACAGTCGCATAGTGTTCCTTGCACAGGACCTCTCAACAGAGCTAATGAACTTTGGTGCCAATGCTGGAATTCTGTCCCGTGTGGATCTTACATGTGCAGATGGATCCCGTCTGGGCTGTGCCTTCATGCACCTCACCATGCAGGAGTTTCTGAGTGCTTTGCACCTTATGACAAGCCCTGACATCTCAGAGTCACAGCTCAAGAGGAAGCTCAACCTGAAAAGTCGTTGGACTGCCAGGACTGATCCCAAAACCGTTTTCACAGATTCCCTTCACCTGTTTATGTGTGGACTTGCTGCAAAAGCCTGCAGATCGAGTCTTGCCCTGCTGGAAGGTAGTGAGGATGCCATAGCTGTGGTGAAAAAGCGACAGGAGTCAGTCCTTAAGATTTTGAGGAGCTTCGTGGGGACTGCCAGCCAAACCGGCCCCAAAATTATCGAGCTGTGCCGTTGTGCCCATGAAACACAAGACATCAGTTTGGCCAAGGATGTGGCGTCAAGAACCCGCTTTGAGCTGCGGAATATCAGACTCAACCCCGTCGACATGGATGCCTTGGCATTTGTAACATCGGCTGCTGATCAGATGGTCTGTCTGGACTTTGGTGGCTGTTCCATTGAATTAGAATGTCTGAGCATCATTCCAAACTGCAAGAACCTAGAACACCTCATGTGAGTTCCAAGTCGTTTTATATTCAATACAACACAACAGACCTTTGCACATTTTTTGTGGTTAGAAATAAAATGTGGTCCATTTTAAAATTTAGATCAAATTTTTACCTGTTTAAACAGAGTCCAAGAGAGCACAATTGGCCTTTGCACTCTCTGGGTGGGTAGGATGGCGCTCCTACGCCCTGCAACACGATGCTAGCCAATGCAGGTGTCTGTTAGCTGACGTAATAGAATTGACAGTTAGCGTTCTCCTCCAAGTGCGCTCAGCTGTCCGATTACGTTAGCGACAGTTCTAAAAGATGTGGTGACTGGCTTCACATGACTCAGAGGAAACTTGTGCTTACCTTCGCCCTTCTAGCGGTGGTGGTATTGTATGTTTGGGGGAGTCCTAACTATTGGGTGGATTCGGAAACTACTAAACTGGGAAGAAAATTGGTAAAAAATTACTGTACCCAGTCCAGCAAAAAACAACTTCCATCCACAATTCACAATCATTAGCATTTGGTCTGAATATCCCTTAAAATAAGTACTCAATGTAAAAATGTTTATTATCTTCCTGCCCAGGGTTAGCTGACAGACCTAGCTGTATTAAAAAAAATAAATAAATGGTTTTTTTGGATGCTTCATACTCTGGTCCCTAAAAAGGCTTATGCTGGTTCATTTTTTTTACATAAATTGAATGACATAAATGATCACATTTAACAAAATAAAATTATATTAAATCTGCATCGACACATTCAGTGCAGATAAAAGGGAACACAACATAGGAAATCTCGTGCTGCAGTGCACTGTAGGAACAAACATTAGGAGTGCATTGATCCTGGGTTTCTATGGCCAATTCCGATTTCTTTACAGCCAAATCAGCTGATCTTTTTGTCTGTTTTTTATTCACCAGAATTTTTATTCAAGCAAGAGACAACAAAGACACTGACATTGTTTATTTCTTCTTTACCCCAAACTATCCCTTTGAGAGTTAAATGAATGCCCTGCCACAGTCAAGTCAAAATATTTGAACATAAAGAAAGTTATTGCTATCTTAGCTGTTTGCCACATCATATTGGAGTTAAAATTCATTATTTAATTAGTTATATTTCAGCTTCAGTTTAAGGGTATTTGGGTCAATGATGTATAAGGATTTTCAACAGGCCAATTTTAAAATACAAAAAATAAGTATATCTATTGCAATCGCTCAAACACGGAGAATGTTGTGAACCCATAAATTCATATTAAAATTTTAGACTAAGTTATTTTAGTGTTTTTTCATCTAGATAAAATGGCTGTGGCCTTAAAAAATGTCATGTAGTGTGACCATGAATTATCTTAAAATTAATTCATTTCTTCGACACACTTAACTTTTTAAGTCTTTAAAAAGTTAAAAAAGTTTAAAAAAAGTTTAAAAAAAAAAGTCTTTAAAAGGTCTCAGTAATATAAAGTATTTAGAAACAAAGGGTTTGCATTAGTTTTGAGTTTTATAAATAATGATCTCATATTTTTGTTCTGTAATGTCACAGTCGCCTTCTTAAATGAAGTAACAGACCTATTTTTCCTGCAAATCGCATAAAACCTCATATCATCAAAAATCTATTTAAAAAGATCAATAAATGGTAAATTCCATACAAAAAACATTTGAACGAGTTTTATCATAATTTTAAAGATTTGTCCAATGAATCATAAACTTTCTTTTACTAAAGTATAAGTGCAGCACATTCATGGCTTTGTTTATAATAAACATTTAATTTAACTTAACAGTGGAATAATTTAATTTTGATTTTCAAATCATTTTGATCAGAACCAAGTATTATCTGTTGTTTATTATCATGTAATCATGCCTTATAACAAGCAGTCTTAATTGAAGCGCACATTCGTGGCCTTGTTGTGAACAAGCATTTCTTTTCTGATAGGTATTGTCCATGTGAAAGTGGGGCATGTGATTGTCCCTGTGTTTATTTTAAAACATCTGCAAAATTTTCTCTCCATTTTTGAAGTTACCTGCTTCCAGTGTAAATTTACGTACACCAGCTGAGCAACAGCAATAATAATGACAGACTATATACAGAAATTAATTTATCATATATTGTGCACTGTAAAAAGTTTGTTGGTTCAACCTAAAAAAATCACTTCCTTTAATAACACGCAAATTAACTAGTTTTATTCAAACTAAATAAATACTTTGAATAAACGATTCTTTCATTCAAAGCATTTTTTATTGAATAAAACTTGTTTAATTGTTTTTTTCCACATAAACTAATTTTTTAACAAGCCACTTTTTACAGTTTGTTGACAGAAAGGATCTTTAGTGCTACACAGTGATGCAAAAGTGAAAATGTCTCCTACAGAAAACATACTCAAATATGACATTTTCCTGCTAATCTTAGTGCACGAATTTCTGTTTATCTGCTGAGTTTAAAGGTAAGATAAAATTGAAAACTGTACTTACATTGGCATAGTTGAATAAGAAAAGTTTGGTACATGGAACTGACATACAACGAAGCTCAAACCCTGTAGTCTCCTCTTTCAAATGCAGATCCCGCATTTGTAAAAGTGGTTAGCAAAACAGGATAAATGATACTATTCATACCTGTGGAACCTTTCCCTGCCATTCTTTCTCTGGTACACAGGAAAAAGATTCTTACTTAAACCTACAAAATTAATTAATGTGATAACAAGTAAATTAACTAATTTTTTACTACCTAAGTAATTAGTTTGAATAAATGATTTTTTAAATCAAAGTAAATTGTTGAGTACAGCTAGTTCAATTGCTTGTTACCACAAAGTAATTTGTTTAGGTAGAACTGAAGAAACACTATTTACAGTGCAACTAAAACAGTAATGTAATATAGCATCATGCCATAAATCTACGGCGTATAGTTTATTTTATTTTGAACTAAGGATAGATGACGGCAGATGCAATGTTAACAAAAAATGCAGCTCCTCCAGGTAATGAAAAAATACACAAGAGCAATTTTGATTTTAAAAAATGTTTAACAATTTTGAACATTCATTTCTCTAGCAAGGTACTCCACTCTTGCTGCAGGGTCAGAATTAACATGATGCCTATGGTGAGCGATATTTACTTTGCGTGGCAGTGGTATCAGGTAAAATAAATGAGAACAGTTCAAAATAAATAAATAAAAGTGAAGTGAAATTACATGTACTTTATTTTTTGCACTTTTCTCATTATATTATACAAAGATTAAACATAAATTGTTGTTTCTGAAATATTAGAAAAGAATATTCAAATTGCATTAAAATCGATTCCAAAAAAACACTAAAATAAAGTACTTTATGTATATAAATCATCAACTGAATATACAGCACAAAAACTGCCAATCTAGGACATATATTTATTATAGAAAACACTGCAGTGGTCGCACCACATGATATTTTCTAGTTCAGTCAAAATTTACCAGTACAGAATTGGCCACCTACAGAAAATAAGCTAGCTTTCCACAAAAGGTAACAATGAAATATATAATGAAAATATATATTTGTAGAAATAACTATATCCGTTATTTTTTTGAGGTCATACCACATGATGTACAAATGTGGAAACTACATGTCAGCCGTTAAAAAGGTTATTGTTTCCCAAATTTCAGAGAGACTTACAAATCTGCTTGCTGCTTCCATGGGTCCTTGGCAAACATAAACGTCCCAAACTAGTCATTTCTTGATGGTCACACCACATGATTTTTCATAAAATGGACATTATCAGACAAAGTTTGTTTGTATATTATGATGGAAATAAAATTACGAATGCTTTGCAATTTTGTACAGGACTACAAAACACTTTGGAAATCATGCCAAATGGGACAAAAAATAAAAATGACTAGATTTAGAGTAGTTTCAAAGAAGTTTTCAAAACAGCAGTCATGGCCGGACGGTTGCACCACATGATATTTTGACCCTTTAAGTAACAGGAAAATTACAATTAACTAACATGTTTTGAAAGTGAGTAGATATGTGGGAGAGGTACTACATATATACATATATATGGTACCTTTTAATGCATTTAAACCTTTTTTAAACTAAAATAAAAAAATGCTGTCGGACAGAAAATTTAGGCATCACGTCATTGACCCGTTTGCATCCAAATTAGGTGAATGGTGTACTAATTAAAGCCATAGCCCGTACATTTTAGAGGCTCAACAATAATTGGACAATTGGCTGCTCATCTGTTCCTTGGCCAGATGTGTGTTATTCCCTCATTATTCCATTTACAAGTAAACAGATAAAATGTCTAGAGTTGATTGCAAGATTGGTATTTGGATTTGAAATCTGTTGCTTTTTAACTCTTAATATAAAGTCCAAAGAGTTGTCACTGCCAGTGAAGCAAGCCATCATTAGTCTGAAAAATCTAAACAAACTCATCAGAGAGAAAGCAAAAACATTGGGTGTGGCCACCTGGAGGCCAGAATAGCATGGAAAACAGTTGTGTGATACTTCATCAGAGTAAGTACAGAGGGATTACCACAAGATATAAACATTGCTAAACCTGGAAAAAGAATATGAGAGTTTGCAAAAAAAAAAAAAATTAAAAAAGCAGATCTGTTACATCTTATAGACGAGACAAAGATCTTGCACCAGAATATTGGGAAGAGAAGAATATGAAGAAGGGAAGGAACTGCTCATGATCCAAAGCATACCAACTCATCTGTAAAGCATGATAAAGATAGTGTAATGGCATGGGCATGCCAGTAGAACTGGGTTATTTTGTATTTATCAATGATGTGACTGCTGGAAAAGCAGCAGGATGAACTCTAAAGTGTATAGGGCTATATTATTTCAGTCAAATGCAAACTCATTGAACAGTGCTTCGCAGATGGATACTGACTCAAAGCATACTGTGAAAGCAACCCATGACTTTTTTAGGGCAAAGAAGTGGAGTGTTGACAATACTCACCTGATCCCAATTGAACTGAGCATGTATTTCCCTCCCTGAAGTTAAAATTGAAGGTAAAACACCCAAGAACAAGCAGAAACTGAAGACAGCTGTAGTAAAGGCCACGCAAAGCTTCACCAGGGAAGAAACCAAGTGTCTGCTAATGTCTGTGGGCTCCAGGAAGTCACTGACTCAAAGGATGTTCATTGAAGTAGTAAAAATGACAATGTATGATTGTTACTTTACCCAATTACAAAGTTAATTCCAAAAAAATGTGGAACAGTATGTAAAATACTACTAAAACAGAAAACAGTGATAAGTAAATTCTGTTTGACCTATATTAAATTGAAAAAAGTACAAAAACACCATATTTACCTTATGAACTTTGTTGTTTTTATAAATATACACCCATTCCAAAACAGAGACAGGAGCATATTTACCACTGTCTTACATCATCTTTCCTTTCAACAGCTATTAATAATCATTTGGAGACATCAAGACACAAATTGATCAAGTTTTGAAAACATAATTTTATGCTATTTTTATGTTATACAAGTCTTCAGCTGTGCAACCGTTCAGAGCCTTTGTTGATGAATTTTGAATGTAGTAAGACACACATATTCATTGAGAGACAGTTCTGGATTGGACAACAAGCCAGTCTTACACCTGCACTCTAAACAGCCATGCTGTTGCAACACATGCAGGCATGGTGTTGTCATGTTGAAATAAGCATGGGTGTCTAGAAGGCAGCATATGTTGCTCCAAAATGTGATCAGCATTAACGTTCATACTTTCACAGATGTGCAGGTTACCAAATACACTCCCGTACCACAACCACATACTGCAGGTTAATAATACACTCCCGTACCACAACAGTTCCTGTTTTTTTAACTTTACGCTGGTAACAATCTGAAAGTCCGACCCATCCTTACTCATAAAGGATAAGGCTTTTGCTGGATGCTTCTTTCATATCCAAGCACGATTTCATCACCTGTTTCACAATGTTACAAGTTTTAAATTGCCTCTGTCCCAAATATTTTGGAATATGTTGCAGACATCCATTTCAGAATGAGCTTATGTTTATAAAGACAATGAAGTTGAATGGGTAAAACATCTCAGATTTTGTCTTTGTACTGTTTTGGTTCAAATACAGATCAATATAGATTTATAGATCAATTTTTTCTGTTTTTTATTTGTATTTTACTGACTGACAACTTTTTTGGAATTGGGTTTGTACTTTTGAGCTCCTAAAATGGGGAGCTATATATGTAATTGGTTGTAGTTCCTATACTGTTCACCTGATTGGATGTAAAAACCCTCAAATTAAAACTGAAAGTCTACACTTTTAGCTCATATTCATTATTTAATTTCAACTCCAGTATGCTGTGGTACACAGCTAATATATAATATATAACCAAATATTTATGAACCTAACTGTATGAAACACATGGACTGATGGGTAGGCTTAACACAAACACAACGTTTAAATGCAGCATGTCTTTATGATTATTTTTCATTTCATCCTGGCCTATACCTATAGGGACTGCCCCATAACAAAAAGAAGCTGCTCAGCAGAGTCTGCTAAATGCCCCTTCAAACAAATAATCTTAAGAAGATGCACAACAAGAAGAAAATAGAAAATAAAAATAATTAGGAATTTTTGGAAGATTTTTTTCCTACTGTCTATTCTGTATATTCTTGCTGTCCAAAGAAAAACAAGTATTTCCAAAATAGTAACTTCACAGGAGATGGCATTCCTACCTTTTAGTGTAATTTAATGTAAGAGATTTTGGGGTGTTGAAAAGATGGAGATGTTTTTTTGGACAGCAACGAAATGAGTGACAAACTCTCTGTTGTGCGTCCAGTAGAGGTCTGCATGGGCTTGATTATTAATGCCAACATCCGCACACTTCAACCAACAATCACATATGCCTGTTCCTGCAAAACCTAGCATCATTGTTGCCCCACCACCACTTCAACCACACGTTATGCCCACCCACTCCTGCCTTCTTTGGGCTATGCCTGAGGTCCTCGTCGAGTCCCGCCTGCATTTGCCATAATTTGATCTGCTGGTGTAGGACATGTCCATGCACACTTGTAGCTTATTCACTGTTTGCCCTTCTGCTTCTGCAAGCAGCCAGCAATTGTCCAAGCCCACTCCAACCAGCCATAACCTCCCCCACCCCATAACCCCCCACCCCCCACCGCATGAGCCGCAATAGGTTGGCTGTTTACCGCAATGACCGTGGTGCCTCAAATTGAATCCTGCCTGCAAATTATTTCACAGGTCATGCAGGACTCATTTTACGCAGACTAACTTCCAGGGTACTTCCTGTTGCTCCTTTAAAAGTGATAACCACAATAACCACAATAGTGCATAAAAGTGGAGCTTTGAAATTAAAATCTTGGATGATTTCACAGTAGTTCAGTAGTTTTGATAAATGAGCAGATAATACATTATTTATGTATAGTTTTAGGTTCTACATTTGTTATCTTTAAAAATGGAAGGCTATTGATTCATTTCAGTTTGCTATGGATTTCTTTTCAGTTTTCGTAGCAGGAAGTACGATGACAAGTTTGCAGAGGCTTTGTCTAGTATCCTGCCAAACCTCCAGGACTTGAAGCATTTAGAGTGAGTCTCCTGGTTAAACCAGTACTATTGTTTTAATAAAGTGAATCTGCTCATTGTACACTGTGGTTTTTATATAATTGTTGCATCTACAGCTTTATCGGTGGGGGCCTCACTGATGCCGGAACTGAGAAGCTTATCAAGGCTTTGGAGTGCTGTCCACAAATCACACACCTTAAGTAAGAGACTAAATAAGAGATGTACATAGGTTTATATCAAACGGATGCTTAGATAATTAAATGATTAAAAATATATGGCAGGATCTCATTTGGAGAATTCTGATGAGTTCAAAGGAATGGTTAGTATTGTATACATTGCATCAAATCAATCAATCAATCAATCAACCCTTATTTTCACTTAGAAATATATTGATATTTCATTTTGGATGTAGCCGAGCATTTTCAACACTAAAGTGATTGTAAAAGAAATTAAAATGGAATTTAATCAAGTTAAACTGAAATGAATAAAACTACATAAACAAATTAACTGAAAATACAGATGATATAAATTGCAAAAGAATAAAGAGAAAAAGTAAGATTTGATAAACCAATTAATGAGATTTCAGCATAAAGAATAAATAAGCAAACTAATCTTTAAAACAGTGAAGTAAAATGATTATAAAAGGTAATACAGACACATAAGTGAAAACAGTAAGAGAACTGAGATAAAATTTAAATTAATGTTCTTTTTTTTTGACAGTGTCAATGATAACTCTCTATCAGATGAAGGTGTAAAAATGATTGCAGATTTGTTCCCTAAACTGGCTAACATCACATCTGTCATGTAAGTGATGTATTTTTCCTCTCGTTTGTTTTGTTTTAAATCAGACTAAAGCCCTGTTTGAGCTGGATTAGTTTTGTCTGGAAATGCACTGTAATTTGGGTGATTACTGACAAGCTCAAGTATAAATGTCCAGTGTTCAAGTAATAATTCCTTAGCAAATTGCCTTCTATAATTCATCAAACTCTGACCTCCTACAGTAATAGTAGTCCTGTTCAAATCAACATCATTATTATAAGCTAATTACTCTACAACACGTCTACAAGTCAGCTGAAATTAAATTAAAACCAAAATAGCTGAGGCATGCCACGACACAGGTTAAAAAGCCAAACAAATTTTTTGAAAAAAAAAAATCAGTCAGATTTTGTTTATAAGTTTGTTTTTTTGGATCTATTAAATTCTAATTTTAATGTGGAAGTGAACGTCCAGGCTATGACTTTTCAATCTAGGCTATCTGAGGTAATCTGGGGACATCGCACAGAAACATTATCCTGTATGAACTGGCCATTTGAATCCTTTACAGATTACATTACTGGACCTTCTCTGGTTAAACAAACCCAACTCAAATAGGGCTTAATTCACAGTTACATAATAACTCAGGAGTGACATAATATTATTGTTTGCATTGCTTAAATGTTGTTCTCAGGTTGGGAAAGAACAACATTTCCAGAGATGGAATTTTTATGCTCGTCGAAAAAATGGCCTCCATTTCTAGCCTTCAGAAAGTCTATGTCAGGTAGGACTGCATACGTTGGAATACATGGCATGATTCTTTTAAGTTTTTTAATGTAAATTAATGATTGTGTACAACACGGTACAGTGATCCTTACAGAAGGTTGTTTTTCTATTTACAGGGGAAGGAAGGAAATCTCTGTTTTTTTCACTCCAAACTCACATACACCAAGGTAAGCACTGACTGCCGTTACATTAAGGTCTAATTTAATAAATTGTTTATTTAATATATTGTTGTGTGTTGATAACGATAATCATTCAAAGATTCAAAATCTGTCCCACTTTATATTTTCTGTAATTGGCAGTGCTGAGTTGTGAAAGTGACTTTATGGATGTATTTTGAGGGTTTTTTATGATTACATTCACTCATTTTCCCTAAAGTGATTTTAGATGCTTCTGAATTTTTGGAGTAATTTTTGGATACTTTAACATTTAGCTTACTAAAATTCTACTTTTGGTTGATTCTATTTACCAGTTTAAGGGATATCTGCCACTGAAAATGCCCAGATTGTGTTATATCCAGATAAAATAAATACATGTGATTCATATAGCACTAGAAAATAAAAATGAATCTGCTGATCTCCAGCTGTAATCATAAGGTGATTATTCCTAGCCAAAAAGAACAACAAGCTCTATAGACCTTTGTACACTCTGTTATTTTAACATAACAGTTTGGATTTTTCAAATATTGTGTGATTAATCAAAGTACAGCACTAAAAATGTTATATTTTAAATTGAGGCCTCCATAGCTTTGTGTCTTAATGATTCAACTCTCTACTGAGCTGCAAAACTCACATACAAACAAAATGCTGCATCAATACAGCTAATAGTTTTAATGCTAGACAGTGGAATTCCAGTGAACAACTGGATTTTTTTGATGAAAATCTAAGGTAATAATATTTTTGAGGCGGTATTCTAAGATAGGGGGGACTAACATTATATACTTCAACTATATTTTTACTTCAAATTACAAAAAATCTTTTTTCCTCTCAAAGCCAAATGCACTGCTCTCACTCTATGATCAGATACTTTTCTAGATTGCTGTTTTCCAATAACAACTTAAGAATTTCATAGCTGTGTAGTAATTCTTTCGAGATTAGGTTTGGTCCTGACATTTGGCATTTTGACGTTTGCACTTTACTGTAAAATATGATGCTTGGTTACCTGATTGATTTCAGTTTTATGTATGGACGTCTCTTTCCATTAGTCAGCTAATTGGCCTCAAAAATGTTGACCCTTTCCTTCTGTTCTTTGATAGTGTGAGCACAGATGACCCTAAGGACACTGAAGCCCCAAAGGAACTAATGTATGTGCTGTACTTTCCAGTACTCTACTATTATTGAATGTCATTCTTCTTTCTGTATACACTTCTGACAGAAGAAGCACCAAAGGCGACGTTCACGTTACAAGGTTCACTGCTCAATTCTGCTCATTTGGCTCATATCCGATCATTTTAACTTGATGGTTCATGTTAATGTGTCAGTGACTCAAATTTGTGTCCACACAGCTCTGAAAAAATCAGATCTTTGTCACATTAAGTCAAAAAATTGAGTGGCACTTCAGCTTGGTAATGTGAACGTAGCCAAAAAACTCAATTCTGTTTGGAATGCTAGATTATGAGAATACAGATGTTAGCACTGTTTCTGAGTGTAAAGAAAACTTGCAATAAAAAGATGCTCACATTTTGCTCTTGCTTGCACTAATTTATACATTTATTTAAAATGTACTGTTGTTCAGTGATACATTTATCATTAATGCATGACTGTTTAGTGAAGGGTTTATCCTTTGCAATTATGGCACGTCTAACTTTTGTTTCTGTTATTTGTGTTTAGCTTGAACAACTATGATCTTAAACTGACTCATTTGACCAGACTGTGCAGCAAACTCAGAGGCTGCTCCTCTTTGATCATCCTAAAGTAAGCATTTTGCTACGTGCAGTCTTTTCATGACTTTTAGTTGAGTGTTATAATAAAGAGGAGTCAAGGAAGTAGGATGCAAGTGCAAGTCCATAGTTTTATTATAGTCTGTAATGACAACAGAGGAATGCATGAGAGAAAACAAAAAATTATATAGGAAAACATGATAAACTAGAAACTAAACTGAAAGAAACCACAAAACAGAGACATGGTGTATACAGGAGAACACAGACAAGGAACACTAAGAGGGCATGGTACCAGGACAAGACATGAGACAAGGTGGAGCAGTGGCAGGGCAGGGAACTAAAACAAAAACAAGGGAACATGGTTGAGACAAAAGGGAAAATGTGTACACAGAGGAAACAGACAGAGACAAAGCTGGGCAGGAATGTTACAGCTGTTAAATTCATAAATTTTTGAGCAAGAAGTGACTGTCCTTATTAGCTAATTTTGAAAGTTTTACATGATAAGCTTAATAGAAAATTAATTGAAGTTGAGGCTTATCCTTTTTAAAACATGCAATGGTTGGTCTTAGATCTATTTTAGCCTTTGGACTTCCTCATATACACAAAAAGTGCCTCTTTTTTTCTTTTCAGTTTGTCCAACAACTCCCTTGGTAACAAAAGTTTGAAGAAGCTTCTTGAGCTGTCTAGGCTTGGGACCATTCAGGAAATCAAGTGTGTTATACCGTACACTGATAATTTTTGTACTTTCTCTTTCACTTCATAGGAAGTTCATTTTGTACTGAGTCTTGTATGGCACTACTCTTTTGTTTATGTGTGTGTGACAATGAATTGTTGTCCTGCCATGCAGTGTCAGTGACAATGGAGTGGATATGGGTGGACTAGTTTCTCTCTCAGCTTCTCTCAATACTGAGAAAACCTTGAGAGAAATCGATGCTAGGTAATTATAATGTAACTGATTGTTTATTGAGAATTGTTGTTGTTTTTACAGTTTCGTACTCAGTTTTTCATAAGCAGTATTAAAAGTAACAATATTCTCTTTTTCACTAGTCACAATGGAAAGCAGAAGCTGATCTTGAAGTTTAATCGTAGCACAAGGTATTTTGAAAACATTTTGGCTTGCAGGCGTTATGGTGTTGCAGTGAGGCATGTGATTTATAGAAATATATTTTGTCTGCAGATACGCATTAAAACCGTTAAGCACTGATGGGTCTGATTTATACCTCCACAAGAAATTCAGGTAAAATAGTAATAGATTTTATAGTGTATTAGCTACATATGTTATTTAATGCATTATTATTATTAGTAGTAGTAGTAGTAGTCGTTGGAGTACTAGTAGTAAAAGTAGTACAAGTAGTACTATTTTTTAAAATTATTTTTGTTTTTTTTTGTGTTGTTTTAGCTTAACTCACAGTGATATCCATCCTACTGACATGAACAGGCTGTGTAAGAATCTGGCCAAGTGCAAACATTTGCTGGAACTGGAGTGAGTAAACTGTCATTTCTCCTAGTCTTCAGAATTGGTCTGTGTCATACTGCTAGTTTGCACTTTTTCAGCAGTTCCTTATAAACCCTATTCCTGCTTTGCGCTGTAGTTTCTCCCATGGAACCTTTAAGGATGAGTCGGTTGAGAAGCTCCAGAAGCTCCTTCCAGGAATGACATCTCTCCAGCTGCTAAAGTAAGAGCTCATGTCCAATTTGCTTCGACAAAAAACTTTTCAACTGATGTAGTGCTAGTTCATAATTGTCCTGTTATCTGTTCCAGTATAAGTTACGTCCAGATGTCAACAGACGGTGCTCTGTCATTGATCAGATCACTTGCTGATTGCCCACGCATCACATCCATGGAGCTCAGGTAGCTTACATTATAGCAAACTGTGTCTGTATGTACAGTGGCCCCAGAAAGTATTTGGGTATTTTGTGCCATACTTAAAAATGTATTAGGTTAAAAAAAGACCTTTCTAAAGGCAGCTGGCATGTTTAACTTTGTTAAAGTTTGCCAATACTCAAAGTGTCTAAATACCAGTATGCCACTGCTGTTGTGTGTAACTTAAGATCTTCTGGTTCACAGACAACAAGGAGAAGCATTCATTAGATTTCTCCAAGTCACATCAGGTGCAGCAACTTGCAAGTGAGTTATTTGGAAAAAAGAAAAAAAATCTTAAACTTTAGTCAGAAATGTTGTTGTAATAGCTAAATGGCTCTGTGTAGGCTTGCTTTGGTTTCCCTTTTTTTAATCCAATCTTTCAATCTTGTTCAACAGGCTTATTCAGTATAAGCTGAATGGCGACAATATAAAGGACCTGTCAGGGATTCTGGAGCACTGTCCTCACCTTGCCGATCTGGAGTAAGTATTTTTCAGTTCATAATTAGCTCTCAGCCCTTCATTCCCTTTGTTAGCTGGTCTACATATCTGTGTGTGATATCTGTTTATCTGTATTTGTTATGAATGATGGTTGATATTTCTAACCCAATCTTTACATTCTTGTAGTTTGTCTAGTAACTTCCTTAGAGATGAGGGTGTGAAGAGCTTTGTCAGTTTACTGCCCAGACTTCAGATTTCCAACTCACTGAGGTAAAGGCAGTGACTTTCCTGCAGGCTGTTTGATACTGAGCTGAACTGCTGCTGTTGTTAGCTCTGTCAGTGCACTCTCCCTAAATGGATACATTATCATTCTGAACCGTGGGGGATGATGATAATGGAATTAGATTGGCATTTGTATATTTGTACAGAGCAGATGTTTAGATTTCACAAATATATTTTAAACTGATATTTGATGACATACACTACATGGCTAAAAGTGTGTGGATACCTGTCCATAAACATTAATATGGAGTTGCCCCTCTGTAAGATAAAATAGGATAAGACAATCCTTTTTCAGTCCAACAACGGGGAAATTTACTTTGTGGCTATAACAGCCTTAATTTCTCTGGGAAGGTTTTCCACAAGATTTAGGTGTGTATGTGTCTGTGAGGAATTTGTGCCCATTCAGTCAAAAAAGTGTTTGTGAGGTTAGACATGATGCTGCATGAGAAGGCCTGACATTCCAGTTCATCCAAAAGGTGTTTATTGGGGTTGTGGTCAGGACTCTAAACACTAAACTCATGTCTTTATGGACGTCGCTTTATGTAAGTTTAAAGCATATACAGTCCCTTCCAAAGTATTGAAACGGCAAGGCAGATTCTTTTATTTTTGCTTTACCCTGAAGACATTTAGGTTTGAGGTCAAAAAATGAATACAAGATGATAGATCAGAATTCCAGCTGCTATTTCCAGGTACTTACATCTAGATGTGGTAAACAACTTAGAACATGGCACCTTTGCTGGCAGAGCAAAAGTAAAGGAACAGATAGTTGTAATGTAAATAAAAGTAAATTACACATAATATTTGGTTGCATATCACTTGTTTGCAATAACTGCATCAAGTCGGCAATACGTTGACATCACCAAACTGTTGCATTTTTCTTTTGTAATGCTTTTCCAGGCTAGTTCGGTTGTTTGTTTTTGGGGCTTTCTACCTTCTGTCTCCTCTTGAGGAGGTGAAGTGCATGCCCAGTTAAGGTCTGGTGATTGACTTAATCAGTCAAAACCTTCCACTTTTTCCCATGATGAAATTCATTGTTATGTTGGCAGTGTGTTTTGGGTCTTTGTCTTGCTACACCTTGAGTTTCCTCCCAATTAAATTGGATGTCTCTGTAAATTGGCAGACAGAATGCCTCTGTGGAATTCTGCTGCTACAATCACGAGGTACTTCTTCAGTAAAGATAAGTAAACCTGTTCCAGAAGCAGCCATGCAAGCCCATCGCCACCATGCTTGACTGATGAGCTCATATGTTTTGTATACTTTCTTTCTACACACTTTGGTGTTTCCATCACTTTGGTAGTTCTGTTCCAGAACTTTTTATGACTCATCTCTGTATATCTTTTAAAATTCTAATCTGGCCTCTCCATTCTTACTGCTAATGAGTGGTTTGCATGTTGTGATATGGCCTCTATATTTCTGCTTCCTTCACCCCTGCCTTTTGGAGGTTGTTGGCAATTTCACTGACTGTTGTTTTTAGGTTTGTCTTTACATCTCTCATAGTGTTTCTGTCATCAACTCATATTATTTTCCATGGCTAACCTGTTTGATATCTGGTTCTTTGTACACAAGTGATTCCCTTCTTTGTCAAGACTTTCCAAATTGTTGTACTTGCTATGCCTAATGCTTATTCAGTGACTCTGATCAGTTTTCATCTGGGCTCAAATTAAGAGTAGACATTCAGAGCTATTAATTGTTTAAACAATCAATGTAACAGGCACAGTTGAGCAACAAAAAAAACACCTATGAGCCGTGTGTTCCAATATTTTTGCTCACTTGAAAAATGGGTGGGTTCAAACAAATGGTGCCATGTTCTAAATTAACTAACACATATAGATGTAAATATCACACAATAAAATTCTGATCTATCATCATATATTCATCTTTTGATCTCAAACCCAAATGTCTTCAGTGTACAGCAAAAACAAAAGAACTGGCCTTGCTATTCCAGTAATTTTGAGAGGAATTTAGTCTAAAGCAGGGGTGTCCAATCTTATCCACAAAGAGTGGTGGCTGCAGGTTTCCATGCCAAATGCACTTGTGCTCATTTGATTCCAACTGTTTAATCAGTTGGTCTCCGTCTTCAGCAATTTATCACGTGTGCTCCTACATTGAAAAAATGCAACCACACTGGCCCTTTGCGGATGAGTTTGGACACGCCTGGCCTAAAGTGTCTTTGTATGCTGTAGCATTAACATTACCTGTAACTGGTGCCCCAGACCATTATTCTTCCTCAACCAAACTTTACTGCTGGCAGTCTGCATTCCAGTTTGGTAGCATTCTCCTAGCAGCCAAACCCAAATATTCCCACCAGTATTTCCTTACAGTTGACTGTAGCAGATGTGGTTGGGCAGAAATTTCACAAACTGACTTGTGACAAAGATGGCATCCTATGATAGTGCCACATTTAAAGTCACTGAGTCCTTCAGAACAATCCATTCTACTGCCAGTGTTTGCCTGTGGAGAGTGCATGGCTTCGTGCTTGATTTTATATACTATTAGCAATGTGTGTGATTGAATCACCAGAACTCATTGATTAGGAGGGTATTCCACATACTTTTGGCCATATAGTGTATATTTATTGTGCTCTGGTAGAGCAGAGTGTTTAGGTACCACTGCTGTGCTAAAATGTGTGATTTTATTTATTTTTCTGCAACCCTCTCCAAATATGTTACGTTTCTCTGTAATGCTAATCCAGGTGAATTTAGACCCTGTTTGTAAATTACAACCCCAATTCCAAAAAAGGGACGCTGTAATGTAAATAAATGTAAATAAAAACAGAATGCAATAATTTGCAAATGTCACAGACCCACACACAATTGAACACAGAACACATATCAGATGTTGAATGTGAGACATTTTACCATTTCATGAAAAACATTAACTCATTTAGAACTTGATGGCAGCAACGCATCTCAAAAAAGTTGGGACAGGGCCATGTCTACCATTGTGTAGTATCCCCTATCTTTTAACAACAGTATGTAAATGTCTGGGAAGTGAGGAGACCAATTGCTGGAGTTTTGGGAGAGGAATATTGTGCCCATCCTTGTCTGATGTAGGATTCTAGCTGCTCAACAGTCCTGGGTCTTCTTTGCCAGATTTTTGTTTCATGATGTACCAAATGTTTTCTCTTGGTGAAAGGTCTGAACTGCAGACAGGCCAGTTCAGCCCCCAGACTCTTTTTCTATGAAGCCATGCTGTTGTGATAGATGCAGTATGTGGTTTAGCATTGTCTTGCTGAAATATGCAAGGCCTTCTCTGAAAGAGACGCTGTCTGGATGGGAGCATATGTTGTTCTAAAACCTCTATATACTGTTCAACATTGATAGTGCCTTTCCAGATGTGTAAGCTGCCCATGCCATAATGCAACCCCATACCAACAGGCTTTTGAACTGTGCGCTCATAACAAGCTGGATGATCCCTATCCTCTTGAGTCTGCAGGACACGGCATTCGTGGTTTCCAAAAAGAATTTCAAAGTTTGATTCATCTGACCACAGAACAGTTTTCCATTTTGCCTCAGTCCATTTTAAATGAGCTTTGGCCCAGAGAAGACGGTGGTGTTTCTGGATTGCGTTGACATATGGCTTTTTCTTTGCATGATCCAGGTTAACTTGCGTTTGTAGATTGCACAGCGAACTGTGTTCACAGACAATGATTTCTGGAAGTGTTCCTGAGCCCATGCAATGATTTCCAGTATTGAATCAAGCCTGTTTTCAGTGCAATGCCGCCTGAGGGCCCGAAGCATCCAATATTGACCGTTGACCTGTCCCTTGCGTACAGGGATTTCTCCAGATTCTCTGAATGTTTTGATGATATTATGTACTGTAGATGGTGGGATATCCTTTCAACATCTGATATGTGTTCTGTGTTCTATTGTGAATAAAATATGGGTCTATGAGATTTATAAATCATTGCATTCTATTTTTATTTACATTTATTTACATTTTACACAGCATCCCAACTTTTTTGGAATTGGAATTGTATATAAATGTGTTGGCGTTTGTATTGTATTGGCATCAGCAGATATGTACATGCAACATATCAGATTTTGGCATTGGCACATGATTTCTATATTAGTGCATCCATAGTATAAACTAAAAAATTCATGAAATGTGATTGGAAATGATGAATGCTATACCCACAGCCACAGTGCATGAACCCTGACCATGAGCAACACAGTAGGGACATGCAGCAGTCATCAGGGCTACAGAATGAAAATCTCATGTTTTGGTTTTGCAAATTTGTTGTTGCATATTCATTAATATTAGATTTTTTGGGTTAGCTAGCTTAGTTGCTGTTGTCGGAGACAAAATGGTCTGGCTTTTAAAATAGTGACCTTTCTTGGTATCTCAGTATTAAGACATAAAGGCCTTATTAACTGTGTCAGAAACTGTCAGTGCTGCATACCAACACCTCTTGCAGTTTTTTTAGCACTCTGATAGCTTGTGATTTATTTATCCTGTTTATCTCCTCTACAGTCTCAGCAACAACAAACTCACCCAACTTGGAGCACTCTACCTCGTGAATTCACTGAACTCTTGTGAGAAGGTGGTTGCTGTGGAAGTCAGGTAAAACTTATTGAACAGGTTCATTTTTATCTGTTGTGTGTAATCTGACTTTAGTGCTGTGAAGCAGCAGAGGAGCTTTTAAGAAGTTTATTCTAAAGTCACATTCAAGGTTTATTATTTTGTGTGTTTTTTATTGCATATATTGTATCTCATCTTAGTCTTGGAGCAGAGGAGCGGGTTCTGATTCACTTTGAGAAGGAGAACGTCACAGGCAAAACGCTCAGGTTAGGCACTCTCTCAACATGTCTGCTCTACACAGTCTTTTGTCAAGTTTCACAGTGGAGCTTTGCTCACGTGGATGTGCCATCTGCCTTCCACCATACTCCACCACATGAGTCAAAGCGAAAGTGAAATTTTTTTAATAAATATTTTTCGCTTCGATACTGTTATGCAATGCCGGATTACAATTATTCGTTAAAATCCTTCTTTTAATGTAAAATATGTCTCTGGCCTTGGTGGCAGACAGCAGACATTTTCTCACAATCTGTTCTCTTTTCTCTCCTTATTGTCCACCACCCCACCCTGCCTCACTCTTTCGCTCTTGCTTCTTACACTGCAGTCTAAGGGAATGTGGTTTTGAGATGGGCCACTGGCAAAAGCTTTTGGAGATACTGAACAGAAGCCCTATTGAACTTAAACTAGAGTGAGTGTGAAATCAACAAAGATTTACTACATACAATAAAAATTTAGAGCCACAGGAAGTAATAGCCAATTAAAATAGAGACATTTCTTTTGTGATCAGTGGTACCTTTTTGCACTTCTTGTCTCTAGGTTGTCATCAAATGTTCTGAACAGTCAAAGCCTGCATTTTCTATTGAATAACCTGGCCAAGCTGTCCTCTGTGCGAACTCTAGAGTAAGACTATTCACACACACAGCTGTGCCAACACAGTCGTACTCCTCCACTTTTTTTCTAATGTAAATGAGTCTACGACATTGCTGACTGTTTCCAATTAAGACATTTAATTGTGGATTAATATTGAGACGTGTGCGTTGTCTTTGTCCTTTTAGGCTAAGAAACAATGGTTTGAATGCCGAGGTGATTAAGCATTTGGTTACGCAGCTGAGAAGTGATTGTGACTACAGAACCATCCAGTAAGCATTAAAAGAAGATAAAAAAAGACATCATGTCTTCTCTGATTATAATATTCCATGTGAATAATGGTTGGTCCTTTTGTTTTTCTGTCAGAATTGAGGAGCCGTGGATAAAAGCAGAAGCTGCTGTTTGCCTTGTGTCCAGCTGTCTGGACCTCAACTCACGCATAAGGGAGATCAGGTACGTCTAAGCATTTTGTACATAGACTGGACACACTGTGAAATAATTAAATCTTGAAAAGTGAAAGCATCTTACATGCAAGCAATATATCAAATATTTTAATTGTTTATCCCATTTGTAGACATATTTACTTATAAGTAATTTTCTCAGCTGGAATTATCTAGAGTTAATACTATATTGTTGCTGTCGGAACAAAACCTTATAACTGTACCATTTTTCATATATATATACATTATTTGTGTACCATCAAACTTAGTTAACTGTCAGAACAAAGTACTTAACTGTCATGAAATTCTGCCTATACAGACATCTCAGTTTTTAGATATGGCAGTAGCTTTCAGAGAGGTTGCATCCAGGTTATGTGATATAGCACACAACACCACAGCTTACTAAGTGCCACATCAGAAATGATGCAGTGGTTAAACCTATTTGTGTTTTTAAATGTGCTGCTCTCTGTCAAGTCCTGCTGCTCTGCTGCTTTTTCATGCATACTGTGCACTTGTATACAAGACACAAAAAATGATTCTATTCAGCTGTGCTTCTTAGCTAACCTATACACTGCTTTTAGGTTGCAGTTGCATTGCCTTTAAGTTTCAGTTGCACTGCAGTTGTTTGCCATCTAGTGAAATGAACATGTCTTTTTGCAGAGTTGAAAAAACATGTTTTGAGATTTCTGTTGAAGGCCTCCCCTCCAGGCAAGTCATAAATCTTATAAATCTAGACATATCAAATTCATGTTTGTAACAGTCTCAAATTTTACCACATAAACATTTCACAGTGTCATAATTTAGTAGACATCTGAAAATGAACAAAACAGCTCAACTGAGGAAACACATATTTTTCCCCCAGAGCTCCTTCTGAAAACGGGGATTTCTCTCTGTCTGCTGTTCGCTTTATAAGGTAAGTTTTATTTTTTATGGAGCTGTTTGTTTCTTCATGAGATCTTGGTTCCTGAATACTTTATTTTGTTAATGGTTATATTGAAATATTGTCTGCACTTTAATCATACTGTGATTTTTCTTTCTTCAGTTTTGATGACTGTGAAGTGGAGGGGCAGCACTTGTCCTTCCTGCAGTCAACACTCCAGAAGTGTTCCTCCTTGCTGAAATTACAGTATGTTCATTAGCAAGCGCTTTCTCATTTTCACACTAAGTTCTAATGCACTATATATGTGTAATAAATACCTCTCTTTATCACGTCAAGTTTTTCTCAAACAACACTGGGCACAAACGGGGCAGAGTTTTTTTCTTCAGTTCTGCCCTGCCTGAAGAAACTCAAGAGCCTCAGGTGAGACATCATGTGGATGTAAACAGTCACTGTAAACTGTTATAAATAATCAGTAACTGATGAAGGATTTTGCTTCTGCTCGAGTTAAACTAAATCAGTGATCATATCATTCAGTGCAAATAAATGCTTATTCAGTCTTATACAGCTTACTCAGTGCTTATACAGACAGTACCGCTACATTCATAGACATATGATGTATTTGAACCTTGTGTTTCAGTGTTATTTGACACAAAATTTGTGACTTTTGTGTTTGCATAGTCTTCAATCCAAAGGAGAAAGTCTAAATGAAGCAGTAATATTTGCATTACAGCGTTCACAAAAGCATCTGGAAAACCTGAGGTATAGCTCTCACATACACTTCTGTTCAAAAGTTTGGACCCACTGTTCAGAATAAATACAGTGTTTCTAATATGCTAGTTCTCTGCAACTTCACACCTTTCAAGGCAGTGCTGTAGATGATTCTAAAATGACAGAACAAGCTGTATAAAGATCATTCAACCACACTGGTTCAAAGTCAGAGTTAAAAACTCACTTAGGACTTTTAATAGGCTTGGACTTTAGACTTTTGTTTTAAATTACTCTAAACTTTAATTATGTTTATTTTATTAAAACAAATAATTGAACATTACATCTTGTCACTACCAAAACAATCATATAATTTCTGAAACTTTACCAGATGTTTCAGTAGTGACTGTTTCGGTAGTAACGATTTTAGTTAATTTTGAGCGTAACTCAAAAATGCTAGCCATTACAGAACTAGCAAACACAGCTTTGAACAGATGTACATATATAAAGTCATAATATTTTTCATTAAAACATAAAAAACTTTTATAACGTTTACTTAACTGCAGAAAATATGTGTTGGAGACAATTCTTAATGTTACACACTGATTTTCAGACTCTGGGACACATTTACTTTAAAACATTTACTTTAACGCCTCACCATAGGGCAAAAATGCAGTGTCACTTTCTGCTCGAAAATGCAGGGGTGTGGCTTTTAAAGGTAATCAAAAAGATCTTTTAAAAAACAACTTTTAAACAAAATTCTAAGCATTATTTGAAATTTATTTGAAATTTAGGGTTTAGGGTTTGGGACAGCCACCTTCCAATAGAAAGTACCCTTAATGTTAGGATTTTGTATTTTTTTAGGTTGTTACTATCTTAATTAATGCCTTGGGTTAGAAAAGATCATAACGTAATCCTTGCGTAAACATAATTGTTTTTTTTATATTTTTTTACTGTGGGACCGCAGTTTGAACTAATTTGGTAGAATGGTCCATGAAATCAAGAGTGAAGTTATGACAAACCTAATAGACAAAATGCCTCATCTTTCACATAAGGGACATCTGTGTGCAGAGCAGCACTCTTTTGCTTCTCTTGTACAGTTTATCTGAGCTCAGCTTTTTGCTCAACATAAATTCCACCTCCACAGTCCTCAGTTCTTATTTCTCTTTGAGTTACTGATTACTCTGATATTTTAAGATGCTCTTTTCTATGTACCCATAATTGTCATCTTTTTCTAATATGTTTGAATTGTTTAGTTTGTCCCATCATGTAATCAATGACAGTGGAGCTGCAAAACTGGGCAGTGCCCTCCAGGGTTGGACACATATGAGATCACTCAAGTAAGAAGTTCTTTTTAACCTCCTTCTGCAATTTTTCAGGGATGCCAGAGATGTTAGGTGTTTTTTTCTGGCGTTGTGTCATGTTAGCCAGCTTATGCAAAAACTAGTGGTTTTGTGACCCCCCAGGAAGGTCTTCTGTATCTGCTAACAGTGTGGTTTTGCTTACCTAATATAATCTAACCTATTCTAACTGGCACTAATGGGTTCTCTAAAATGTAATCCAAAAGTGGGTATGTTTTTTCAACTGGTTATCAAGTCATTTATGAACTGAAACAGGAGGACTTGTGCATTAAAACTGCTTTTTGTTGTGAACATACAGAAACTGAGTCAGTTAGAAACTACTGTTTATTATCACTTTCAGTGACCACTTTTGGAATTTCCAGTATTGCAGTACATAGAATGTACTCATACAGAAGCTTTTATTTGATTACTATCATTAATTTATATATTTTGTATAAATATATATATATATATATATATATATATATATATATATATATATACAAAATATTATATAAATTAATGATAGTAATCAAATAAAAGCTTCTGTATGAGTACATTGTATGTACTGCAATACTGAAAATTCTATACTATCTAATATAATACTAATATACTAATATCTTTTTTTGGTTCTCCAAACTGCAGAAACCCTAATGAGACATACTTAATTCTTTGTTGTTCAATCTAGTCTCTCACACTGCACTGGTTGGACAGCAACAGGAGGTCATAAGTTGGTTCGTGGGCTGGTGCAGTGCATCGCTCTGGAAGAAATGCGGTAAGAGCCCTCGCTCTTATGTGCAATCTTATGTGCATGCTTAGTCTGTAAAATTCAGTCAGTGGAGCTGTTAGCTGTGAGTTTTGATTCTTATTGAGGAAGACAGTTTCAATTTGACCATATCAAAGCCACACTGATGGAGCCTTTGCATTTGGAAAATGTATACGTTTAAGCCTACTCTAAACAGTAAATGAACAACGCCAGCCTTTTTCATGCAAGCTGCACAAGAACAAACCACAGTATGATTTTATCAGGAACAGAGATGAGATAAAACCAGATACTACACTGTCTTCTTTAATGTTACTGCATAAATAGCCTTATGCAAGGAAATGACTACATTAAATGTGAAGGAAGCCACATTGCTGGTCATAGGTTGGAGAAAGTATACTATTCATTCTGTCAAGTCAAAACAGTGGAGAAAACTTGAAAGACTGCAGTTGTGTTCAGTTACTATCTGAACACCAAACCAAAAGTGCATGGTCAGCTACTGTCTGAACGGTCATCACAGCTAATTAAGTTGGAGTTAAAATGTATGATTTGTAAAGAGAGTAGAAAGAATTACAATAATCTCTCTGCCAAGGCTGGACTCTGTTGTAATGGATGAAAAGAGCGCAGTCTGCCTGGCCCAAGGGATTCGGAGCATGACTTCACTTAAGAAGATCAGGTAGGTGAACCTAACCCACTCAGAAGTTTGTAATATAGACTACTGTGTTTGTAAAACTTCTAATGAGTTCATTAGCAAAGTACTTGTTGCATTTTACATTTTCAGACATATTATTCCTCAGAATCTTTCATTTCTGGTTGTTATGGATTTATTTCTCAGTCTGAATAAGATGGTCGTGGACTCAAAGGAGGGCAATGGGGTCCTCTGTCTGCTGGCTTGTCTTCAGTCACTGGGTGGGCTGGAGGAGCTAGAGTAAGTAGCCTTCATTTTCTTTATAAATCACTTCTTTTTCTTTGTCTTTGTAAAAAATATGTTAGATGTTGATGTAACGTAATTTAATGTTTTGATAAGTTCACTTTTAGAAGTATTTTAAAACGTCAGCCTTCCTTTCTGTTTCCAGGTTGGAGGGGTTGAGAATGGGTGATCGAGGTATTGAGGAGCTTGTGAAATACATCCCTAAATGGACCACACTGAGAAAAATAAAGTATGTGGGTGCTAGGAATGGATTCCCAAGCATTCATAATAGACTACATCTTAATACTGTCTATAGTTTAAACTGGTAGCATGAATAATAAAATAGCACCCTCTAGTGGAGACGGCAAGACATGGAAAAATTTGCCATGAGCTCTTAAGTATCTTGACAACGTGCCATATGCTGGTTCCTTTTGCTGTAACACCAGTTAGCACTTTTTCCATCCAATTACTGTACATACCTTCATTCATTCTTTTCCCAAGGTGAGGCATACTGTCGTGACTTGATGTTTTGTTCATAAGGCGTTATCAGTGATCAGCACTCTCTCTGTGTTGTGCAGTCTGTCAGAGAACTGTGTGAGTGATCAAGCTGGAGAGATGCTGGTGAAGGCGTTGTCCCACTGCAGAGCACTGCAGCAACTACAGTAATAACTAACACATCCTCTCATAGACCTTTTAACAGTCTTTGGCATGGTATTTGCAAACATTCATAAGTCAGAATTTATGATTAGTACTTCAGTGCAGTGGTAGAACAATAAAATTCAAAATGTGAATGTTTTTAGGAGAAACTGACACACATACTGTCAATGAATTTTATTACTCTCTCTTTTTCAGTCTCTTCAGAAACAAACTTGGTCATGAATTTGCTGCTCGACTGGGTCAGGTTCTCCCATCCCTGTCCCATCTCTCCGAACTGGAGTAAGTCCTCCAAAAAATAAGGGGTTTCTTGTGTTTGCATATAAATTGTTATTTGAATCAGAAAAGTGATGACATTATATTTATAGAAAACAAAAACTTCTTATTGTTTGTCGTCAAGCACAGACCACATGGTACATTTTTTGTGCTTGCAAACCAAAGTACTTGAATGGTCTTATGGTCAGCTTGAATGGTCTTATAACAATATCAATATTTCTCTTTTTTTGTCTTGTAAAAGCCTGTCTGAGAACCAGATTGGTCAGAAAGGATCCTTAAGTATTAGTGAGGGTCTGGTCAGCTTGAAGACACTGAAAAAGCTACGGTAAAGTACATGTACTGTTCCATCAAATGTACAAAGGAATGCTAATAGGCATTGACTGGTTACAGATTTTTAGCCTCCTTTTGTCATATCCAATACAACAGTCATTTGTTATATTAATTAAGTCAATACATGAATTACAGTAATTGTTATTATGCTCTGTCATTTATGCCATTACTGAAGATGCTTTTTTTTTCAGTTTGACCTCCATTGGAACCTCAGACTTGATCTGTATTGTGTCTTGCCTGAAACACTGCACGTCTGTAGAATCCATCAGGTATTTATGGCGAGCTTTATAACTGTTCCTTTTTAAATAACAATTGTATGCTGTTTTTCATTATGGTTCACACTGTTTCCTTCTTGTAATTGTACATGTTTTTTTCACAGCTTGGCATGGAATAAGTGTGGAAATGACGTGGCAGAGAAACTGGCCGAGGTTCTGCCACAGTGCAGTAAACTGAAAAAAATTGAGTAAGTGTTCTTCTTCTTTTACTGAAGGTATACCTTTTGCATCAGCAGTAACTGTGGCAGTGTGCAGATGATATGTCTATTGTTTGCAGTCTGGAAGCCAATAATATCAACATAACAGGAGCCAAAGCGCTTGCTAAATGCCTGCAGTCCTGCCCTTGGATTGAAGTAATCAGGTAATTTTTGACTCACATATGAATAATTAGTCTTTCATACCAAGCAAAGGATGAAAATACACAAAGCATTTTCTGACGTATGGACCAAGTATATGTTCTCCCCTTGGCCTCTTTCTTTCATGAGTGTTATCTCTATTTGAATAGGCTTTGGAGGAATCCCATTCCAAAGGATGACCAGATTTCGAGGGACCAGAGATTGAATTTCTCACCAACCTAATCTAAAGCACTTCTGTGTGTTTAGGCATGATTTTATGGCACCATTTTATTTAAATTGTTATTTATGTGTATTTACATTAATTGGAATTGGAAGGTGTTTTGTTTACATTTATTTGGAGAACACATTACCTCACTTTAAGAATCACCATACCACACAGCACAGTTTGTCTATTAGTCCAGGATTCAGAGGTTAATGGAAGCAATGCACACAATTCATTTTTACACTTTTAAGGGGAATTCCACCCATTTTTCAAAATGTCTGCATGAGTCAGCCATTCAGATGTTAGCAATATCATTCCAAGTGGTTTGATGTGAAATGGTGCACTGTAGAGAAATTTAGCTACTCAGATTTGTTTACAGTGGCGGTGATAGGCACCAGGGGTCATGATGTCTAAAACATAAATATAGCTGTTTTATTTTTTTGCTGTATAAAACCAGTGATCCCACAGGCAACAATTTTGTAACAATTTCATGTAATAGCTTCCTGTGAGGTAGATTTTAGAGGCACTAAATGCTTCAGATGTCCAGTTTCCTATCACTGTGAACAATTACCAAGCATGTTTTATCTAGAATGCCACATTTCACATCACACTGCTCTGAATGACTTTGTTTACATCTTAATCATTTATAAGTGCAGAAACTTTGAAAAAATCAGTTCCCCTTTAATGCAATACAGACAGCCCACTGCAGAGCCATGCTTGCATGTTCACAGAAATAGTGTTGCAAAATCTGGATTTATTGTAATTTCTTGTGAGTCATCTTTGAGAGCACAGTTTTTTTTGTAACTACAACAAATCTGTACTCCACACAATTAAAATCTTGCAGATATGATAATCACACTCACACAGAACTTTCTAGTCTTCCAGACTAATTGTCATATTTTTAGTAGTACACAGTTTCTGAAAACGTGAACAGGCAGATTGGCTTTGGCATGACAGATTTAGCACATTGATGAAGGCAGCTATCAGTTATCACCCTGTGAGAAGCCTGACTCCTTCACGCATTCTTCCATTGACCTTGCCTGGGCATCTCTTGGTTTGTGTTCTCCTGATCTCTTATTTATTCCTGTGTAAACCTAAAGTTTGAGATTCTGAGTTTGAGATACTTTTGTAAAGCCTATTTGTGTTTCAGAAAAAAAATGTTAGCTTTAGCCAAGTTAGCTGAAGAGTTGCATGCTGTTTAGCATTTGATTTAAAATTGCTGGTTCAATCTCTAATAAATCATCAGGGAATGCATAAACGTCTATGTGGTCTTCACATTATGCTAAAACTTGCATGTATTGAGTTATTTCACGTCATGTAATATCTCTCAGCCTCATTGGGAATCCCTGCTCAGCAATAGAAATCAGCTTATGTACCTTTGATGTTGAGGCTAATATATACAGATATCAAGCTTCCTGCAAGTCATGTTAGCTATCTGGCTTTCTTCTGCATTTGCTAGCTATGCTAACAGGAAAAAAGCCTGAGATATCCACCCAAAGCAATTGTAGTTTTTCCAAAAGCTCCTCCCACCTTTTCCCAGTCTTTAAACCAGAAAATCTTATTTTTACTGCTGTGTACCACTATAGGAGGAGAATAGTGGTGTTTGTAACATAAAGCAATGATTACATTTTTCATTTTGGCTGGAGTGCCCCTTTAAATAATGATTTAGTTCTTTTGCCTCTGTGTAGGGAGAATTTAGCTGCCTCTCATTTCTTTGCCTACACTTCTTCTACTACTGATGGACATCCTTGAATTAATTTGCCTTATTTCATCTGTCATATTGTTTTAGTAATTATTTTGAGTTGGTGCAGGATCACACGCTTGAAATAGGAAGCACTGCTCAGTTTGTACTAAATGCGTTAAATTGCTTTGTACCACAAGTAGTGTGTCAGCCTTGATGATACCTCAGTGTGTGTGTAATAACCGCTCTAAAGGAGCAGGAAGCAGGTGCAGGAAAATTCTGTACTAAAGATTTAAAAGATAAACGCAAAAAACACAAAACACAAAAAGATTCACAATCAGAATCACAGTCATAAACTCCAGCAAGGAAATCCAAGTCATCAGTGTAAAGGCAAATAAACAGTGCTTAGTGAACTGGATTACAGGAATGCAGAGCAGTGGATCAGACTGCTATTGTTATTAGGCTATTGTTATAAGATTTAACAAAGTAAAAGCTTGCCTTAAACACTTAGGTGTGGAGATGGAGCCCATGGTTAGAAGGCCGGTGGGTGCAGAATGGTGGTAGCCTGAAGTAGAGGGAGGCCTGAAACTGCACTAAAATACTGTGAATTCCTGGAACACATGTGTAAGGAAGTACATATCTGAGGATACACAGTTGTGAATCTTGACATGAATCTTGTGAATCTTGACCTTATATTGTATTGCACTTAGTTTATAAGCACCTGACAAAAATGCTCAGGAAAACCTTAATATTACAAGAAATACAAAACTATTAGATAGTCATTAAACCATTTACAAAACTCTTCCCAAAGAAGCCCAGCATTATTACCTGGTCTGACTAAGCAATACTTTATTATGTTAATTCAAGTGTGCAGGTGATCGAATTTAATAAATCTGTGAGATGGCTGGGTGCATCAAGTAGAAATCTGGAGCCAAATTGTGTTTAGACTAGCTCACAAAATAGAAACTACTTTTTCAAAATAAGATTTTTTTCTTTTTGCCTAAATAAATGGTTTTCTATGGAGCCCTGCTCCATACTGACATCCTGTATAAATAAAAATAATACGTATTAATGTGTGGGAACGAGATCCTAATGTGTGGCCACGACTTATTAAGGAGTGGGAATGAGATAATTAAGTTGTGGCCACATCTTAGTAAGGCATGGGAACAAGATAATCTTATTCACGAGATTATCTCATTCCCACGCCTTACTAAGTCTTGGCCAGGCATTATTTTTATTTATAAGAAATGTCACCAGCAGGGGAAGGAAAAAACCTACTGTACTTGTAATGTAAGTCAGTGTAACCAGACTTTTTTCCAAGTCATTTTGGCCAATTTCTTTCAGTCCATTCTTCATGAAATGTACACACAATGTAAAGGGCAACAGGCATTTTCAAATTATGACACATTCCATAATTTGTTGCCTTAAATCATCTGAATAAAGCAGTTTTGACAGTTCACAGAATAAGATGCTGTTTTCATTTTCAGTGGGTGAATCATGTCAGTAGCAATGATCATGTTTAAAGCATCCACAGATATGAATTCACCGCAGATATGCCTTTGTGTTGCAGGATTTTTTTACAAGACTTGTGTAATGTGAATTGACCGGATGTTTATGATGTGTTTATGATGTCTGAGGTAATAAAGCACTGATAAGAAAAAGATTTGGGGCTTTGTTATTGTGGCTTCTATCACTGTGGGTTTTTATATTACTGATATCTCAGTGGGTCTCACCTTTCACATATCCTGCCTGCATGTCTCACATAATAGACTTCAGATTGTCTTTACCTTTAATAAAATGCACACTTACTAAAAATCCTTGACAGGTTGCCTATTATAGGATTTGTGAACTATAGAATTTACCAGACTTACAACAAAAACAAGGCTGCATTTACAAGTGCATGCTGGTGCATATTTACATGTGCTATAACTTTAGGTAATTCTTAATGAGATTTTAAAAATGTGCCCATCAATATTATGTATGTATTTTTCCAGCTGAGATAAAGACAGACTAACAACACTAGTTAACTAAAGCAAACTGTAAAGTAAAGTAAACTATATGTTGCAGATACTTGAAATTCTTCTGAAATTGAGGGTATTAATAGGGAGTTACTTCCCTCTTTGCTGCAGTAACAGCCTCTACTCTTTTGTTAAGGCTTTACACAAGATGGTGGAACATTGCAGTGAGGATTTGATTGCATTCCACCACAAGAGCATTAGTGATGTCAGCTACTGGTGTTGGATGATTAGTTCTGGGTCACAAACACTCCAGCTCATCCCCAAAATATAAGATGTACTTCGTTACTCTAGAGAACACAGTAAGGAACAAGGAAGTTAGAAACACCCTGAGCATGAAAGAACACACATCTGTTTTGACTTCATTTTCCTTGTAAAATACTTACAGTCGGCAGTATTCACTTCTATGATTTGTGCCTGTATTACTGGTTACTACCTTAATCTTATTAAAGCTGTGCTTGTGTAAATTTTCCTCCTCTACCTGGCAGGAACAGTCTTTCGTAAATAATTTCCACAGCAGAGCACTTTAAAGTAAAATAAAAAAAAAAGATTTATTGAAAAAAATTAATGAGTAATATGAATATATGTTGTAATAATAATAATAATAATAATAATAATAATAATAATAATAAATCTTTTTCTGAGTTTTATTTAAGTATGTTTTCTGCCTGTTGTGAAACGTTTTGTACAGTGAAAAGACCGGGTGAATCTCAAATGGCTCCCTAGTCCCTATAGTGCACTATTTAAATCATGAAACTATGGCTTCCACTCCCAAATAGTGCACTAAGTGTTAGATAGGGAGTTGTGGATCCTACGGCTGAATCCCAAACTATTTTCTATTAGAAATATAATGCGTTACTTTGGTGTGGAATTTGTTATTTCATGACCTATATAACCTAGTGCACTACATAGGGAGCATTTGAGATACAGCCGTAGTTAACAGGCCAAGATTCAGTCCTGCAAGAACTGTGCTGACTGGTTGATCCGCTAGATGGCAGTACAGGCCTGTGACAGCACATGACTCTTTCATCTCTCTCCTGAGGAGGTAAACAATCATTTGTCAATTATCAATTTTCTCATTTTCGCGGTGATAGATGTGATAATGGAGTGGATTTTGCTGGTGGATGTGATAACAGTGACGGTGATAATAAACTTTAGTCTTCATTCCCAAGAGGATGAGCCAAACCCCGCTATAAATCTGAGAGGTTTGACTGAAAACTAAGAGTTTTGAAGCTGCCACAGGCTTCACAGTCCGCTCTAACCCAACTACCGTTACCTGGAGCAGCTCTGATAGTCATTTGTTACAGAAGAGGCTGTTTCAGCTGCAGTGAATGTGCTCAGCAGCAACAGGTGGTTTCTGTTGAATCGATACAAAGGATTTGTTCTCTTGTCGTCTTTTCTTTTTTCAGTTTTTTTACTGAGCACTTAATGACGTGACGAGGCTTGCCTCGTGCTCTGTTGCAGCTTGTGCCGTTTCTCACTCGTGTGGTGAAAATGACTGAGCTCTTCTGAAGAAGTGTGATCAGAGTGTGCTCAAGCTTAGCTGAGCCAGGCGGAGTTCTGAGCTGTGCGAAGCCCTCAACTCCTGTGGGCTGGAGTGTGTGTGTGTGTGTGTGTGTGTGTGTAAACCGCGGGTGGAGACTGCCATGGTTCACTGGGAGCCCGCCCAGCCTCAGCCTCAGCGCGGGCTGCTGGAGTGAGTGAGCCGCCTGCCTGCAGGAGAGGAGCAACTTCTCCGTGTCCGCTCACTCACTACTGCTGCTGCTGCTGGACACAGAGTGGACACAGAGAACAGAGTGGAAACCTTAGTCCGCACAGCGACACTTCAGAAGAGTACTGACTGTTTCTGCTGTGCAGAACTGACGGAGGAGAAGAGAGAGGTCGCCCCAGAAAAGTAGGCGAAGAAGAACAGACGACCTATTCAGAGCAGCTTTCGAGAGGTGAGCGGACTGTTTACTCTGATGCTCTGGATCTGAAAGAGCGGCGGCGGCAGATGATGGTTAGATTAGAGAGCAGCTTTAAGACGGAGGAGTAGGACTAATGAATGTGTAACACGACATGGAGAAGTTGTCATTTACGCGAATGGGTTCATTTTCCGTCTGGGCAGACCTAAACAAAACAAAATCAGAACTAAACAGAAACGAGCGGAAAGGCTGTCAGAAATTAAACTGAAAGCGTTGTTCATTTCAGTATGAAGACAGTCTTTGGTGTTTCATTTATGGCATTTGGCAGACGCTCGTATCCAGAGCGACTTACACTTAGATCATGTTTCGGCCTTAGAGAGCCGCTTTTCCTCTTCGTTTAGTGCATTTTGTAGTCCAAATAAACATGGCTAATTTTCTTCCACACACATCGCCACACTGACCTGTTTGTGCTCGTAGCTCTGCTCTCTAGCTGGGCGCTGATGTGGTTAACGGTTAGAGTGCTGCTGTGTGCAGGATGGGCATCAGGAAACAAAAGAAAGAAAGAAAAAGAAACAGAATGGTGTACTTGTTCTGTTTCTGACTGAGCCCCTAAAGTGCCATTGTGAAA